ACACTTTGACTCATGTCCGCCAACGTTACTGGATTCCAAAGGCCCGCCAGTTCATCAAAAAGTTACTTCGCCGCTGTGTAACCTGTCGAAAGGTTAATGGACAACCGTATAGAGCTCCTACTCCACCTCCCCTTCCAGCCTTTAGATTGGTCGATTCACACCCATTTACTGTCACAGGAGTAGATTTCACCTGGCGCCATTTACGTCAAAACCCCACAAGGTCAAGAGAAAGTATTACATATGCCTATTTACCTGTGCAAACACACGCGCTGTCCATCTCGAAGTGGTAACCGACCTTACCGTTCAAACCTTTATGACAGCGTTCCGACGATTTGCAAGCCGCAAATCTTTACCCCAAATCATAGTGTCAGACAATGCATCGACATACCAATCCGCTGCTGACGAATTAACACAACTTTTCAATTCGCCAGAATTAGAGACCCGACTAAGTTTACGTGGCATTGTTTGGAAATTTATACCAAAACGAGCACCGTGGTACGGCGGATTCTGGGAAAGATTGATTGGATGACAAAAACTCTCTCTGAAGAAGGTCCTTGGTAGAGCAAACATCACCCTCGAGGAACTACAAACGATATCAACCGAGATTGAAGCAGTCCTCAACGACCGCCCTTTAACATACACCTCTTCCGAACTCAGCGACGAGGATCCACTCACCCCATCCCACCTACTATACGGCCGACGAATCACCACCCTACCCCACTTGCTTTACGACGATGATCCCAACGACCCGTCCTACCACCCTGAACCAACCCGTATCGAAATTCAAGCAAAAAGGAGGAGTGATTTGCTACAACACTTTTGGAAACGCTGGCGTGAAGAATACTTAACCTCTTTACGCGAATTCCACAAAGTCTCTGGAAAAAACGAAATAGAAATAAAAGTCGGTGATGTAGTTCAAGTCCACGATGACACCAAACGCGTGAACTGGAAGCTTGCCATTGTGGAAAGTCTCATTGTAGGAAAAGACGGTTTGGTCCGTGCAGCCAACATCAAAACAAGCACTGGTTATACAAATCGTCCTATCACCAAACTATACCCACTAGAAGTGACCTCAACCACCGATACCACCATGTCAAAGGTTCCTGAAACCCAACCTCAAAATACCCTGGACCCCGATACCCAGGACCCCGCAACCGAAAATCAAGGAGTGAACAGACACATCAGAGCAAAAGCACAACTCGCAAGAGAGAAAATGAAAAAATGGGCATCTGTACTTTCGCGCGCCCCGGAGGATGTCGAGAATTGACATGGCCTTTGCACTAATAGTAATTGTTAAATAATATAGCAACGCACTAGAACGCACTTGATTGGTTGACACTTAAACTAATAGTTCAAATTACACTTGCATGCATCTTCAATTAATAACATCTGTATATAACTAATTCTTCTCTACTCAGAGACACACACACAATTACATAAATGAGAAAATAACCAAAATCGCGTTGTTGCATTGATCGTCCAATTTGTATCCCGCTAATTCGAACCTCCGCTTAAGTTCTCTGCAATCGTCGTAGACACAACGCAGCAAACGAAGAACATTCAGTAATTCAGGTATTAAGACGATCGAGACAGATATTTTTCCAGTACGGACCGAACGTATTCGGTTTATAAGGGATTTTTTATATGGCATACAGTATTTAGTTTATTTATTTTATTTATACAACGCTCTACAGCATTCTCGCCGGCTCTTTCGCCAGCCAGTCGCCAAGCAAGCACTGAAGTGGCTCCAAAAACTTTGCTTTTTACTCGTTAAATAAAAATGATACAGTAATATAAACAAAAATCAAAGATGAATAAATATAATTAATATTCACATGTACCAAATAATGCTCTTCTTCGTCCATTCTCTGTCCATATTTTTCGTGTCAAAAATAAAAGTGCGAGCTTGTTTTGGTTCAAAAATATGAGAGTTGGACAGTTATTACGGCAACGGTCTAATACTGGAGGATTCCAGACCGGCAAAGAACCAATCAGCGCACGTCATTTACGAGACCACGTGCCATATATATATATAATATTATATATGAAAGACTGAAGGAATGAAATATTATTTAAACGAGTACATACAAGAGAATACTGTGAAATTCGAGGTACATCTGCTGTCCAAACGACAAAATTTGTATTATTTTTAAATTTGATTAACAATATTATATCCTACCACTATCAGTAACCATCATCAAGCCTTAATTCGCTTTTTCCAAACATCATAACATTCTACTTGGATTTCATCAAGATTGCTGTTGAGTATCCGTACAGCATCCTTTAGAATGACGAGATGAAAAGTGAACAGGACATTTGCGAAATCACAACTTCAAATCAGAAATTCACATTGAGTGTATTGCATTTGACGTGTAAATAGCAAAGCGCTTTAAAATACCATGCAGTTTACCCCGATATCCGTTTCGTGTTCCTCCCCGAATATTCGATTATTCGTTCCGTTCTGTCGATCAGTTTTACATCCGTATCGGCATTTTAACGTAATCGGTTCTGGCGTAGCGTAATTATGTGTGTGTATATATATATTTGTAATTTGATTTGTAATTTAATTTCATTTAATCTAAATTGATATACTTTTACATTAAGGTACAGCAGGAGACTCGTTGAAAGTTCATAACGGTATGGCTTTCACCACCAAAGACAATGATGATGCGGGATACAACTGTGCGGTGACATACAAAGGAGCCTGGTGGTATAGTAGTTGCCATCAATCCAATTTGAATGGTTTGTATCATTATGGCGCACACACATCGTTCGCTGATGGAATCAACTGGTACCATTGGAAAGGATATCATTATTCTCTGAAATCAACATCGATGAAGATGCGACCACGTGAATTTGGAAAGAAGAAATAAAGTTATTTTATACACCGTCTGTTTATTATTATTATTAAAAATGTTACACATTGCAGCTGTGAAGCTGAATTGCGTGCAAAATATATAAAAATATATAAATTATAAGCTGATAAAAATATATAAACTACAATATTAAAAAGAATTGAAGCAGTAAAATATTCACACTCCGTAGCTAATTAGTTTAAGGCAAGGTGATTTACAATTTTCTGCATTAAAAACTCTAACCAAAGACGGAATTAAAGTATGTGAAAAATCTCTTCGTTTTTGCTTCGTAGTCGGTGAAAGGGCGAATTTGGCTCAGATAGTAATTTTATTTCTGCGTAGGAGGAAAAAGATTCGTCAACTTGTGATCAAGAGTGTTTACTATATTTCATTAGAAAGTTTCTTACATGCTTCTTCACGTCCACAACAAAGTTTTGCAATACCGCTGATCTTCATAAACTAAATTAGGGTAAATAACCGAAACCACACGTTTTTTCACTCGTTCAATAGCATTTGAAAGATAGCATTGTAATCCGCAGTGGTACACATGGCAACCCGGAAAAGAGACTCATTACAACATTTTGCAGCAACTTAACCTGAGCAAACATTGTAAACCAACGTCAACGCAAAAGATTATTATTCCGGCACTACAACACACGCATGATGGGTATATAGCCCAGATTTACCACCAAAAGGCAAACCGATAAAAGGTAATTTATCCTCTTTATACCTGCGAAAGAATTGTAGTATGGATAGTTAAAGATTTTATTATCAGACTGATTTTATTATCCATTATTGTAGTTTTTGTGGGTAGCCGCTGCGCATGCGCGGCATTTTCATGTGTACGTCAGTATATACAGTTCGTAAATGTGCAAGTTGTACTGAGAGTTGCCAACCTTATGTACTAAACATATACATAATACATCACACTGTACCGCACAAAGTGGAGCCTGCGATAATATGTCAGCAGTTGAATGGAGGAAGTTAATACTTCATGTCGTTTTGCATAGAATGTATTCAATATTTAACTAAACGCAAACCAAATAGCGGGCTACTTGTGCTTATATCATTTCGTGCTTGCTGTTTCAAGGATGTAGTTTTTACATATGCATATGAGCTTGATAAGTCGTTTTTAAAGGCTTTTAAACCCTCGCTTTAACTAAAAAAAGGGATTTGCAGAACGTAAACTTGTGTTCATTTCAATGTAAAATTTGAAAGTAAACTAAAATTTGAGAAGCCTCTGCCATATAAAATATCTAATGCGCGTATTTATAGATTAATTATACAAAGCAATTAGTAAAATATTATGGCAGATATGAATTGAAAATAAATATTTTTGTGAACAAGCAGTTGGTGATCAAAGAGAAATGTTATTTACAACAAACTAGACAAATAAACAATATCAGGAGACTTGTTTTATAGCCATGCCGATGTAAAATTAAATATTTCGAGTTGAGTCTTGAATTTGAGCAAAATCTGAACGAGAACGTGAGTAGTTATTTGGTTATTTACTACATAATCTTGAAGACACGAGCCTGGAGAACCTCTGAAGTCAAGCGAATAAAGTCATTGGAGTTTAATCTTATATAAATACCTGGTTAATTGTGGATTTTGGACGAATATTGTTGCTGCATTAAACATTGCTATAGTATAAATATGAGCGCTGATCTATCCAGGAAGAAGAGGTTAAGAGGTGCTCATCAAGCTTCTGCTACACGACTTCAAAGGACTGTGAGTGAAGCACTTTTGACACAAATAATATGGAAGAAATTGTGCCTAAACTGAATCAACCTAAAACTAGCATGAAAGAAAAACTTGAAACATTAAAGGTCCTTGATTAGGAAATTCTTGAACTAGTTGATGAAGAGAATATTGAAGAAGAAATTGAACAATTTGATATTTCTAGAGAAGGACTGCAATTGGCTTTAGAAAATGTAGAAAGAGCACTCAATAATACCTCTAGCATGTTTAGTTCATCTGCACTATCTGATGTGACAGAAAATGTAACAAGTAACACCCCACCAATGGCCAGTGAAGCCCCAGCATCACCTCAAGGTGGTGCCAGTAATACAAGCATGTTACTATCACAGAATCAAATTTCAAGTCAGCCTGGTACATGCATCAAGTGAAAATGAAATCTCTAATATGGGTCAGTCTTCTACATCAATTGTGAATCCATCCCAACCAGTAGAACCTCCTACCATACCACCTGCATCACCCAGGGGGCATACAGCAGCCCAACCAATCAATCATGTAGCACAAGTAAAGTTGCCAAAGTTAATCCTAAAAAGGTTTTCTGGTAATCCCAGCCAATGGAAGTAATTCTAGGATACCTTTCAAGCCTCTATCCACAATAATCCCTCCTTAGTACCAATTGATAAGTTCAATTATTTTAAGCCTTTCATGGACGGAGCTGCGGCTGAGTCTATTGCAGGGTTATCTCTAAGTAATGCAAATTATGAAGAAGCAATTGTTATTTTGAAAGCAAGGTTTGGGAATAAACAGCAAATTATAAATCGGCATATGGATATTCTGTTAAATCTCCCATCAGTTACATCTGAAAATAACCTTAAGGGTTTGCGCCAACTTCATGACACAGTGCAATCGCATATCAGAAGCTTGAAATCGATGGGAGTAGAACATGAATTGTATGAGAACCTTCTTTCTTCAATGTTAATGTCGAAGCTACCAACAAATTTGCAGCTGGTTGTTAGCAGAGTGGTTAAAGAAAACGAATGGAATTTGGACAAACTACTAAAAACCTTCCAGCAAGAACTAGAAGACAGAGAGAGAATTAAAGCACCCTCAACCATATCCTAAGGAAGACGGGGAGATGTTTTGTGTGCCTACGAAAGCATCATATCAGCCCAAATTGTTAGTCAACAACGCGTTGCTACTTGTGCAAGGGGCGACTCATATCAACATATGTAAGGGTAAGAAGTCACCTCAACCTCCTAAAGAACCTCCCGAGGAACACGAGCAAAGCATTCAAAACAAGAAAAGGGAAAACCCAAGTTTTGACAACCGATCCAGATTCAACTTTCTGTCACACAACGTCATCAAACTGTGATCTTTTTCAAACTGCTAGGGCGAATATATATAATCCTGAGGGTCCCAAGATCAATGCTAGACTAATTTTGGATGGTGGGAGTCAGTGTTCATATATCAACTGACAGGATCTCTCAGTCTACAGTCAAGGGGTGAAAGTTCAATAAATATAAAACCATTGGGCTCCAACGCGACTAATGCTCAAGTTATTGATGTGGTTAACCTTGGTATAGAAACTGCCTATGGAGCGAACATTGAAGTATCAGCGTTCACTCTGCCGTTAATTTGTCAGCCATTAAGGAACCAGTTCGTGTTGAATGCTAGCAAGACCTACCCGCATCTGGCCAACCTCTACCTAGCTGATTAGTCGTCAGGTCACCACGATGCGAAAGTGGATATCTTGATCGGTTCCGATAATTACTGGAAGATTGTGACAGGAAAAACCCGACAGGGAATTAGCGGTCAAACTGCCATTCAGACAAAGCTCGGTTGGGTTCTTTCTAGGCCTGTTGGAAATGAATCATGGAAATCAAGTTAATCAACCCACACCAGCAATCTTGCTACAATCCATACCCTCAAATGTGCCTCTGAAGAAGTTGAATGTAAGAATGATGTCCTTGCGCAAGAGCTGAAGAGATTTTGGGACTTAGAAACTGTTGGTATTCAATCACAGTGTGTGTACGAAGAATTTCTAGAAAGTATTCTGTATGTGGAGAATCATTATGAGGTAAAGTTGCCATGGAAACACGATCATGCTGAACTGCCTGATAACTATGATCTTAGCAAGAAACGTCTATTAGGGTTGCTGAAGCGATTGCGTAATGAGCCTGAAGTCCTTAAGGAGTATTACAATGTGATAAGAGATCAGCTTAACAAGGAAATTGTGGAGTCCGCACCAAAACCAAACGAAGAAATCAAGAGTATGCACTATTTACCTCATCATGCCGTCATCCGTCAAGACAAAACAACAACAAAATTGAGAGTAGTGTATGACGCCTTGGCGAAGTCAAGAGGACCTTCACTTAACGACTGCCTGTATAGTGGTCCCTCGCTGACTCAGAACATCGTTGACATAATGATGCGTTTTCGTGCATACAAGGTGGCCTTAACTGGAGATATTGAGAAGGCTTTCCTCATGATCCATGTAGCAGAGTCTGATCGGGATGCATTGAGGTTCCTGTGGGTCGATGATGTACACAGCCCAAACCCTAAGATTATCTTATTTCGATTTACCAGAGTAGTGTTTGGTGTGTCATCAAGTCCCTTTCTATTAAATGCCACAGTAAAACACCACATTGAGCAATACCGAGAAGACGATCCGAGTTTTGTGGAAACGTTCCTGAATTCAATTTATGTGGATGACCTTATTTCCGGTGGTGAAAGTGTGGACAGCACATTCAAACTCTATGAAGATTCAAGAAACCCATTGGCAAAGGCCAACTTCAATTTGCGAAAGATAACCACGAATTCTAAGGAACTCCAAGAGCGGATATGTCAAGCCAACCAACTGTTGACAAAGAATGATGCATCGAGTGAAAGTATCATGACTAGAGCTGAGCCCAAGCACTTGGTTCAGGAGGAGCAGTCATCTTATGCCGGAAGTACATTGGGTCCTCGCCTTCCAATCAGTGATGATAAACAGAAAATTATTAAAAGGAACCTTATGGGATTCTTACGAGGACAATTTTATTATTGATCTCAAGGACGTTGCAGAGTTGGCGAACGACGTTCAACCTACGAAGAGAAATGTGATCAGTGTTTCTTCCAAGATTTACGATCCTATTGGATTTATATCCCCATTAGCAATAAATTTCAAGCTGTTGTTTCAAGAACTCTGTATGGCCAAGGGCGACTGGGATCATCCACTTCAAGGAACCCTAAAATGCAACTGGCAGAAATTAGTTGAAAACCTGAGAGAAGTCCAACCTGTTGTCATTCCAAGATATTATGTGTCTGATGTGCAGGGGCAGGTCGTATCCTACGAACTTCATGGGTTCTGCGATGCATCTATCAAAGCGTACGCTGCCGTAGAATCATCACACCAAAAACATCTAATGTCCGGTTTGTGATATCGAAGGCAAAAGTGGCACCCTTAACTAAACAAACGATTCCAAGGTTGGAGTTACTCTCAGCGCTCGTGCTTGCCAGATTAACGAATGTTACTCAGAGGGCCCTGGAGTTTGTGATTGAAATTTCGAAGGTTCAGTGCTGGACGGATTCTAAAGTCGAATTGTATTGGATTACGCAGCAGGAAGAGGAATGGACACAATACGTACAGAGTCGAGTTGAAGATATCAGAGGGCTGTTTCCTGCAAAGCACTGGAGTCACTGTCCAGGTGTAGAAAATCCCGCAGACATTCCATCACGTGGTATCCTGCCTACACAGCTAGCATCGTCTACATTGTGGTGGTCTGGCCCAAAGTGGTTGTCTACCATAGACAACCCTGGAAAGGAGAACTGTGATAGCGATGTTGTACCTGAAGAGTGTCGAGCAGAGATGAAGGTCAAGGACCAGAGAGCATTGAGTCGAAGGTATAAGCAATGTTACTAGCTGTAGAGATTACAGCACCCTGGGTCGTTTGCTACGAGTTACAGCTGTCGTCTTGAAGTTCATCAAGCTGCTTAAATCGAAAGTTAGACAGAAAGATCTTTCAACAAACTCAGAAGTCACGCGAGTCGACATCGAATTGGCTCAAGTTCTATGGATCAAGGAACTACAGGTCAAACTGAAAATGAACGAGAAATTCAAGGAGTGGAATCGAGATCTCGGCCTGTTTACGGATGAAAGCGGAGTCGTCCGATGTAAGGGAATATTATCTAACTATAACTTGCCATATTCAGCAAAGTATCAAATCCCGGTAGATACAGCTCACTACCTTACCACGTTAATCATACGGGATTGTCATGCTCGAGTAATGCATAGGGGAGTAAAGGCGACGTTAACAGAACTTCGTTCGAAATTCTGGTTAGTGCGTGGAAGGAGCTTTGTACGAAAACTCCTTTTTAATTGTGTTACTTGCAATAAGCAAGATGGTAAAGCATACCTGACACTTAACCCTCCACCATTGCCCGAGTTTAGAGTAAAGGAAGCACCACCATTTACGTACGTCGGTTTAGACTACGTCGGTCCCTTATATGTGAAATCTATGAACCATTTAGACGAGAAGGCATGGATTTGTCTGATTACCTGCTGTGTCTCTAGAGCGGTACATCTTGAAGTTGTTCCTAACATGACATCGCAAGACTTCCTCAAGAGTTTTAGAAGATTTACGTCACGACGCTCAACCCTTTTGCTTGTCATTTCGGACAACGCAAAAACCTTCAAGGCTGCCTCCAAAGAGTTAATGTCACTCATGCGTGATCCTCAAGTTAAGAAATATTTCTTGCAACAACGAATGCATTGGTTATTTAATCTGGAAAAGGCCTTGTGGTGGGGAGGTTTCTTCGAGCGGCTTGTGTGGTCATTGAAGCAATGTTTGAAGAGAACCATCGGACGGGCAAGATTATCTTTAAAACGAATTAGTTACGGCTGTCACGGAGGCAGAATCGATCCTGAACAGTCGACCGTTATCATATGTATCCTCGGAAGATGCTGACGAACCCTTAACCCCAGCCCACCTTCTGATCGGAAGACGAATCCTAAGTTGGCATCAAGAAAATCCGGAGGATGAAGATTTTCAAGTCGACGTATCAACGGTTGATCTCAACAAAAGAGTACGTTATCTCAATGACGTTATTGAACACTTCTGGCGAAATGGAGAAACTTATATTTGGTAGAACTGAGAAATGCGCATGCGGGTAAGAGTCCTTAGTCCGAAGGTAGTAGAGAGGTCTCCTGTGAAGGTTGGAGACATAGTGCTAGTTCATGACGAGAACCATCCGCGGAGTTTCTGGAGAATCGGTAGAATAAAGGAGCTTGTCAACAGCGCAGAAGGTGATAGAAAATCGAGAGGTGCTGCAGTACGAGTCATGAGCAAGAAAGGCAGTGTGACTACATTAAGGCGCCCATTACAACTGCTGTATCCTATGGAAATAAACTGCAAACTTGCAAGGGACGTAATACAATCGGGGCAAGAGGACCGTGCTCAGGAGCCAACGGAGACTGCAAGACCAAGAAGAAAGGCAGCTATGGCAGGTGAACTGTTAACAAGACAGTGGATTGAGGACTTGAACAAGAGTTAGCGTAGTTATAGTGTAATGCATGCATAGTATTATATAAGTAAGAACATGGCATGTTTGGAACTTCTCGAAGTAGGTGTTGGCCATATTAGATACATGCCCAACAGGGGGAGTGTGAGATATACTTATGTTGTTTTGCGTTATTATTAATTAGGGTTAGCTGTGGCGTAAGTTAATTTATGCCACGTGGGAAAAACGTTGTCTGTTCGTTGTAGTCGAGATGTAAAAATTATAGAAAGATGTTCAGATTCTGGTTTCAATAAAATATAACTATTACAAAGAGAGGAGAGATACAATCAATCGAAATTTATAGAACAACACATGGAAAAGGTCCAGAATGTTTTCGGATTGTAACATCCGCAGCCAGCCACATTTTTACTACACTGGGACATTTTCTGGGTCTGGTGATAGATCCACCTGAAAATTCATTGATTGTGCTCTTCCCTGAACTTTAACTCGAGTCCTTGAAGCATGATTGTCTTGCTCAATCCACAGGTTTTAATTAGAGTATAAATCTGAATACTGTAATTTTATAACAGGGTGCGAAGGTCAGCCAGATGTATTTTATGAATAAAATCTTTATCTGAGTATTATCGCTCATCCAAATTTAATAATTATCCAGCAATCACTGTAAACATGCAAAATTATACACAGTATCTCCAACTTGACAAACTTACCATATGGTCACTGTTGCTCTCTTGAAATTTCAATTGATCACACAGGTATCAAAAGGTAACAAGATTCTCTTCAATGGATGTGCTTGGAGAAAAAATACCCAAAATTTTGCGGGGGTAGAAATTTCAGTCTTTAACGCCTGAGGTTGCAACATAAACGCCGGTCTTATCGGCTAGTCTTGAATGTTTCATTAACAATACACGCACAAAAAATGTCGAATTGCTCCAGGATATATCTTCCAGTGGTAGTTTTTCAAAAGATTTTATTGCTAGTCTTTTAAAAGACAATTGTTGGATGGTTTTATAAAGCTCCACTCCTGATCTGCTCCTGATGCATCCGCCATTTTAATTTAGTTCATATGATACTTCATGTTGTGCAAATGAAATGGATTAAAACCAAAACACAAAATGTAGATAAAGCTCCCACATGCGTAGAAGCGACTGTAATCTAGCTTGTAATAAGTAATAAGTTTGCAAATAAGTCGATAATTTATGTTCATTAATATGCCATGAAATAACACTTGGAAAATTAATTAGCACAAATGTATTTTTCTTTAAAGAATGATAGCTCCGATTGGCATCGTTGAAGAAGGATGGTATTTTGTGGTGCACACATTTATTTCGATCAGCCGGATAAAAGAAAAAAGTACATTGATGTATTTTATTGAAAGTCACTATATAGCAATGATTATGCCCTAGAGTCGCCCTTCGTGAACAGGCAGATTTTTTTTTAAATTGCTAAAAAAAAACCCGGGTATGTTGTGGTACGTACACACCACTGGTATTTTGTAATGTTTTTAGTATTCACCTTAAATTTAACCAATAAGTTTTTAAATTCAACAGTATTAGAACACAACATAACTCGCCAAATTCTGGTCATACTTATTGCATTTTGTGTGCTGGTATTCTGTGGTACATTAGAGAATATTTCAAAAACACGTTCCATTAAAAAAATAATGAACTTTATTAATTCTACTTTCAGAACCAACTGGTAAGAAGACAGAATGTAAAACAGATACCAATAAATATTAATAAGCATGTCATACGTGTCTATAGAAGATATAGAACATTTAAATTTGTGTGGTATTCTGTGGCACATATACCTGTAATATGTAAATATGTAATATAACGTGTATAGGTCTGGAATATCTTCATTCTTGTTTGACAATGACTTTGAAGAAGGTTTAAATTACTTGCTAAGTTCTTTTTCTCTTATAGTTTATACCTTGAAGTCACAAGATGTTATTCTTCGGAGTATGTTTTCTTGTATCTCTATATTCTATTGCATAAAATTGAGGATGAATTGCAATAATAATGTAAATAACTCCAGTGTATACATCAGATCTCATAAACCAATACGAAGTATAGAAGTGGAACAACCAAAAGGTAATATGAAAGTGTTTTTCAAGTATGCGTTCATTGGAAACAGTCCAGTGGTGCCTTTAGGGTGTAAATAACTTTATTCAGAAGAAAGTGAAATTTTTTAATAAGAAACATCGCTTCTCTGCAGAGATTCATTACTAGCTACGCGTCCACAAAATACCACAAATACAAATAATTATAAATAGCACAAATACAAACACAAGAAAAATTTTTTAATTCTGTGCGGACTATTTCTTCAAATATCATGTATATTGATGAGCTCATTAGTTTCCAGCAGTCAGCACCATGAAGTGGTCAGCATCATAAAGTGGTCAGCACCATGAAGTGGTCAAAAAAAGTCAGTCAGCACCAGGCAGTGGTCAGCATCATGCAGACAGCACCATGCAGTGGTCAGCATCATGCAGATAGCACCATGCAGTGGTCAGCACCAGGCAGTGGTCAGTATCATGCAGACAGCACCATGCAGTGGTCAGCATCATGCAGACAGCACCATGCAGTGGTCAGCACCAGGCAGTGGTCAGCATCATGCAGACAGCACCATGCAGTGGTCAGCATCATGCAGACAGCACCATGCAGTGGTCAGCACCAGACAGTGGTCAGCATCATGCAGACAGCACCAGGCAGTGGTCAGTATCATGCAGACAGCACCATGCAGTGGTCAGCATCATGTAGACAGCACCGTGCAGTGGTCAGCACCAGGCAGTGGTCAGTATCATGCAGACAGCACCATGGAGTGGTCAGCATCATGCAGACAGCACCATGCAGTGGTCAGCACCAGGCAGTGGTCAGCATCATGCAGACAGCACCATGCAGTGGTCAGCATCATGCAGACAGCACCATGCAGTGGTCAGCACCAGGCAGTGGTCAGCATCATGCAGACAGCACCAGGCAGTGGTCAGCATCATGCAGACAGCACCATGCGGTGATCAGCACCATGAAGTGGTCAGCATCATGCAGACAGCACCATGCAGTTGTCAGCACCATGCAGTGGTCAGTATCATGCACACAGCACCATGCAGTTGTCAGCACCTTGCAGTTGTCAGCACCTTGCAGTGGTCAGCACCATGAAGTGGTCAGCATCATGAAGTGGTCAGCACCAGGCAGTCAGTATCATGCAGTCAGCACCAGGCAGTCAGCACCAGGCAGTGGTCAACAACAGGCATTGGTCAGCAACAGGTAGTCAGCACCAGTCAGTGCTCAACACTATAATTGTCTGACCACCATTGTGGCCCCGGACGCCTGCACCGACGATTTTTCCCGCACTAATCGGGCATAAGCGCGAAAGATATAGTTGAAAATATCGGCGATATTAAATAATATTTTATGTCGCATAAAAATAGTTTCAAAGGGGTGCTTGAAAATGTTCTAAGAGAATGAAGGCATATTTGAAAATGCAACTTTGTTTTGTTCTCAATAACTGTGTTATATAAGTCTTCTTTAAATCAGTGAATCAAATGTACGCAGTTTTTAAGATGAATCAAATGTACGCAGTGGCTTAAGATCGATATCTGCTCATAGAATCCAATTTTGTCGGACAAATTCACTTCCGAATGCAATTCTATTCTACATTGATATTAAATTAATCGCACGCAATCAAATGTGCAATTCAATAGCTCAGGGGAGAGAGCGAGGCAAAGTCCTGGCCTGGCTGATCAGTCGTGTCAAAGGCCGATCCCTGCATGACAACAAAGAATCTTGAATCCATCGCGGGGTGAACATATCATATATTCGTCTTCCCCGATGAACGGATTCCTTTTGTATATATTATAGCTACGTTATTAACGTCAGCACGATTATTACTACGACAACAGTCTGTCGACAACAAATGAAAGCACATTCTTGGCTTACCTCCAGTGGCTGTGGGACTTATTATTATAGTTTATCCTTAAGCGCGTACCCCATGTCCCATGTTTCACTAAGACCCCTGCCTTCCCGAAGGTCGTGGCTTCAATTCGCAGCCAGGTCAAGTAAAGTTTTCTCTTACTTGCTTGGTATGCTTTGAACGTGACTAAGAGTAGTATTTATACACCCAACAAATCTCGTTCTTCTATAGGGTTAGGGTTATGGTATCAAGAACAACCATGATTCATGATGCGATGTGTTCATGTAGAAGTAAAACTTAAAAAGATTGAAAACGCCAACACTTCCATGGTCAGTCAACAAGACCTCAGACCACGTCATGCTAAATTTCTGTTTGAACGACGCGGCTTAACGCTCAGTAGCCGTCTTGTTGTATATATGACTGATAAAATGCAAATTTGTCAAAAAAGTGATAGCTCAGTTTTGTTTTTAGATTTGAATTTTGGTGATGATCATGACAGCAAACGAGTATTATTTTCATCAATATATATATATATATATATATATATATATATATATATATAATATATAATATATATATATATATAATAAAACATATTACATTGAGAAAAAAACTTTTTTGCTATAAAGGAACAGTGATATTTATGAGCAGCTGCCAGTGTAAGAAATTTAAATATTTGTTGACGCTGATATGTATTTTAGTTTTAAACAGGTGGAATGAAGTAAATTTTTTTAACTTATTGCTGTGTTTTACGGAAACATTCAAAATAAAGTGTTGAAGACAACCAAAACTTTGACAAAACTGTCGAAGGCTAAAACGCACCCCATTGATTAGCTGACTTATACAGTCTAAATTTTCACGCAGTTGTACTGATGATGAAAATAACTCACTGGAAATGTAAACACAAGCGGGCAAAGAACCAAACAACTAATATTTTATTTACTGTATTTTGTGCGAGGAGATAGAAAAGATTAAAGATAACGTCCAAAACCCATTTTTTGTGGATTTGCTCGCAATGCATCATTTGAATGGGATCCTATAGGGTCTAAATTTTCGACCATACCAAATATGGTGGACTGCATAATTTGTTAAAAGAATATAAGAATTTAAAATAAAATGATAAAATAGCATAATAAAACGGCATTTTTTGCATGCTGCATTATCCGGGGATAAAACATTCAGTTCAAAAAAGATTGCTCCAGGAATATTTATTTTTACCGAATCTATAAATGCTGTTTGGAGTCTTTTAAAGTTTATCCTTCGGATTTGTTTTAGCGCTGATTTAAATTTCTCTTTCCCAACATTATCTGCATGTAATGAACACCTGACTTTAACGTTTACGTTATCGGGCAATGATGTCCAGAGAAAAAGTTATTCGCGTCAGTTATAAAAGTCGGAGTTGAAAACAGTAAAATAACTTATATAATCATCTCTTTCCCAAGATTTAGATAGCTCGAACTAAACCCTCTTCTTATTATGCAAGATTAAGGAATTTATCCAAACTCGTCTCCACACAATGCGGAATACTTAAAATGTCGCACCACGTGCGCAATCATCGAGTGTCAGATTTTAAGCATGAAAAGATGTCATCACAATGCATACAATGGGAGACAGGCCCTGGGTATACGAGGTTTGAAGAAGAACTGGCAGATGGAGAGTAATTAAATAATAAATAATAATTTAATGCACGGCGCTATACGACTGTTCCAATATATCTTTATCGGAGTTGTGGTAAGTCATTTTAAATATAAAAATTTATTTCCAATGAATTGTTTCGCAAAAGGCAACCAAAATCTTGTGTTAATTTGAGAGTTTGTAGGTTACAGATGCTCTTAGGTATAACAGGAACTTCATTAAATTTCCCTCACTTTACAAAGAACGTACTTAAAAAAAGCTCGCAGTATAATTATAATATATATATAGCAAATGCAATTCAAGATACTTGGTCTGCATGTATAATTTAAAAAAAAAAAAAAAAAAAAAAAAAAAAAAAAAATATATAATAATATATATATATATTATATTATATATATATATATATATATACACCCATTTGCAAAAACGTTGGCCGCAGATAGATAGATAGATAGATACTCGAAATCTAATTAGAATTGCATATGTTGTGTAATATGATTGAAATCCCATGCAAATCTACTCATATGCATTTCTAATTAGACTTCGAGTATCTATCTATCTATCTATCTGCGGCCAACGTTTTTGCAAATGGGTGTATAATATATATAATATATATATATATATAAATATATATATATATATATATATATATAAACAAAAAGACATCGGGAAATCCAACATATATATGCATGAATAACAAGTCTGTCAAAAATTGCACGAGTAAGTAATTTACTAAAAACTGTGCCCATGCACATTTTGCATCCGTGCATTCATTGTTAAAAAGGAACAGTAATAATTTATGAGCAGCTGCATGTCGAGTAGTGTAAATAAAGGTTTAAATATTTGTTGAAACAAGTGAAATGAATGAAATTACTTTTTATTGGTGTATATTATTGTAAAGAAACATTCAAAATAAAGTGTTGAAGATAACCCAATCTTTGACATAACTGTCAAAAGCTAAAATGCATCTCATTGAATGGCTGACATACAGTTTTCATGCAGTTGTAATGACGAAAATAACTCAGTCGAAACGTAAAAACAAGCCATGCAAAGAACCAAACTATTAATATTTTGTTCCAAAAGATAGAAAAGATTAAGATAGCGTTCAAAAGCCACTTCTTGTGGATTCGCTTGCAATGCATATGAGATTATACCGTTTAAATGTTTGACTATGAGACTAATCGATTAGTCCGCAATTGTTGCCATAACAACGTAAATTTTGTTGACTGCAGTATTGTTAAAGAAATAAAAGCGTTTAAAATAATAATAGCATCAGGAATATTCATTTTTACCCAATCGAAAAATGCTGTTTGGAGTTGATTTTGAAAATCACTTGTTTTGAAGTTTACATCCCTTGGACGTCTTTAGGGCTGATTTAAATTTCCCTTTCCCAACACACAGCACACTACATTAGAAGTCAAAGTTAAAAAAAATAAAATAACTTATGTAATTATTTAGTTTTATTTAATTACTTTTTTACGCTATTCCAATTAATTCCACTCTAACAGCTTTTCAAATTAAAACCGTCCGTTTCCCTACTTAAGAGTGTAAATGTAAGTCTATATAGCAACTTAATTGTATTTTCATATTTTAATGAAACACAGCCAACATCATATCTCAAGATCATTTTCTTTTTGTCTTCTTTCTGGTCATAACTCCGAAAAATATCATCCAGAATTGCCGAGTCAGGCAAGAGACGATTAAAATGATGTTTGTAGCGGCCAGCTTAAGCTTGCTGTTGCTTGCTATTGGAAACATTTCAGCAAACCAATGTTCCCCGACGAATTACGACACAATCATAAGAGGTTAGTAATCTTTGCGCGTTGGTTCAGTAAAAATATTGCCGTGAAACATCTTTTAAATACTCCATAATGGTGAAAACAGGTGCTATTAAAACACATAAATTTAGTTGAAATTTAGACGTTAATTTGCGATTGACTTTTAAATTTTAGGAGGTCCATCATTGCCTGCGGATGAAATAATATCAAGACACAATGTTACATCTTCAGTTGTCATGTTGGGATGTCACACTCACTGCAATGACGAAGACAAATGTGTTGGATTCAGCTACAGAACAACAAAGAATGTTGAAAATTGCCAACTGACCAACGTTACTAGAAAGAAAGAAGAAACGAAAACGGGAGATTGGATATTGATGCAAAATATTGAAGCGGTAAGATTGATAAATTAAAGGATATTATAGTTTGGGATCCATGTATCAGCTAGTGAATTATTAAGTAAATCAATAAACAATACAAAGTCAGTAGTGATATTTAACTGTTTTGATACTGCAAAATACATTATTTCAAACATTGATACCTTTACACGATGATAAACATGGGCAAGGTATAAAGGATGGAAATGATAAATTGTCAGTATTTAGTTTCAGTATTAAATTTTAACAAAGGTGTTGTTCAAAATTTGTTTACGACTTTGTTGGAAGAGCGTCAAAAACCTGTTCCAAAGAAATTTGAAGTCTTCGAAACTTGTAACTTTCTGCACAAATTAACTAAAATTAATTAAACTATGGTTTTCGCAGATTTTTTTTTGTTCTGCGAAGAAGATCAAATTGTTCGCATAAAGCATCCGTAGTACAAGTCGATGTACGAATTTCAGAAATCCGTATATCTCTAGGCAAGGTATATTGGCCGGTCAATTTTGGTTCGCTTAATTAAATCATTTCTCCGCCGCCCTAAATTCCGAGGCCTTTATGTCTATGACGATAAGAGATTTTCAGAGCAGCAATATAGCAGAAGTGACTCACTAGTCTTACTCGCTTTACTGAGTATTTTATGTACAACTAAAGCATGGTTAATGAGTATTTAAACACTTTTGTCGACCATATTTGATGCCAGATCCTCGACACCCACCTGTGGCAAAGATCCTGCCGATTTACACCCAGTTAACCTAAACACTATAACTCAACCAGATCGAGGACCCGCTTTCAATGAACAAAATATGAAATCTGTAGAAGTTATCGCAAAATTTGTCAACGCAAAATTTTCAATTCTGATTTCACGAGAAAAAACTTGTTATTATTAAACTGTAAGAAAATATTTTCTCTACATCTGCAATCTAAGTGCCAAATTACAACCATTTTCTCTTTTAATTTATTCCGTCCGATCTTTCCTAAAAACTCCGCGAGTTCGCAGGCAAAAAATACAAAAATTAGACCAAAATATAGCTTGAGAAAAGTGCTATAACCTATTCGCTTTTGTTGTAATCCGTAAATTAATAAATATTTCTGTTAATATGACACACCGCAGTGCAGCTGTCAAAGTCATCTCAAAATGCAAGGTGATGACAAACGGAAATATAACTGGTTAAACATTTGAGGTAAACGATTAAATTTTTAATAGCAAACATGTTTCAGCTTACACTAAGCCATCTTCAAATATAACCCGCCTTTGGAATTTCGTTATTTTCTTCGTTATTTTTTAACGATGCCTACCCCCTAGGGGGAGTGTCACTTTATGTCGTGTGTCGTGGGCAAAAGTCGTGCGTCGTGGGTAAAAAGGCATCTCTTATGTATCATCAAATAAATTATATTAGACACAGCTAACCCATACCTAATATAACTTGATACATAAAAGATGCGTGCGGAGGAGGCTAGTCATGGGTGATGGGTCATAAAATAGCTTTTTTTCTCCAAATCAAACGTTTTTAAACGTTTAAATTGCCGAGCACCCTAACCACTTTTTGTATCAAACTGCATGTCACGCACAGATTTAAAATTGTTGAGGCTAAAACAGAATTTATACTGAATTAACCCGTTTCACACCAGTCGCAATGAAATCACAATAGTCAATACCTCTTGTTTGGGGGTTAGGTAAAAACAAGCGAACTGACCCTGACATATAAGCACTGGCATCATTCTACAATTTTGTGAATTCTGGATCGGAAGAAAAGTTTGGGGTCTCTTATAGGCTCGAGACATGTCAAAATGACTGTGTAGGGTAATTATAAAGAATGTCATAACATGATCAAACTTAGTTGCCTTGAAAAAAACTGAAATATTCACAAAAATTGCGTGGCGTTGGCGTATCGCGACCGGCGTGCGTCACTGCCGTCCTTGATGGCATGGTTTTCTTTTTGTTTGAGAGTTGCATGGTGCATATATAAGGAATAGAATATTTAATTTTTCAAAGCTCAAGCAAAGCTTTAAGAAAATTTTTTGTTCGAAATTTGTTTCCGATTTTGTTTGAAGACCTTAAAAAACATGTTTCGAAGTCCGAACTCGAAAGTTGAACTTTTAATTATTTAACTAACATTAAATAAATTGTGGTTTTTGCAGCTTTTTTTGTTTTGCGAACAAGATTAGATTGTCTGCATCAAGCATCCCTAGTACAAGTCGATGTACGAATTTTGGAAACTCGTACTAGAAATACATGCCTGCAGCAACCCGTCGCTATTTCAAACCAAGTACACAATTTTCTGAGCTAACCTGACCTAAACTTATATCATGAAATGACACAAAACTCAAATCAGTCTATATTATATTTTACCGAGTATATTATAGCTAATGTTTCCACCATATTCTATACAAAAATAATCATAAAGCTAGTGTAAACATTTCCCATTCAATTTTGTTGCATTATACCATGGCAGCAATTAAGTAATAGTTTAAAATCGAAGTTTCAAACGATTAAAACAGTAAAAAATCTTCAAAGACATAGAAAAAACCCGGCTCAAATGTTATTTTATTGTGTAATGCAGTCGGCGGCTAAAAGCTAAGTTTTACTTTAATATATAGTGTGTATTTTTTATATCAAAACTCAAATTACACTTTCAAAAACACTTTTTGAAGTTAAAGCAGAGGTGTAATAGCCTTTCACAGACACAGGTTTATGCGTTTGTATAAAAAGCCGAAAATTATACAAAGCTGAAAATTAAACTAAAAGAAAAGAAAATAAAGGGCATACAAAGCTGAAAATTATTCAAATACAGCTCATCTTTAATTACCGCGAAGCACCGCTTTGTCTTCACTGTGTTTATGTTCTTCTTTGCTATCTGTCATGCTTCTAATACCTTGTTTCTTCTCGTTTTATTTTGCACAAAGTTTATGAAATGCTTTTACAAAAAGGTTTAAGAAATGACAGTTAAATTGCTGACGTTCTCATTGAAATACAAACTTTCTGTCTTAGCCAATCAGAACGTTTGTTGAATACCTGTCATCACTCGCGCATGCGCATAACTTACAAAACCACACAACATAGAATATGGACAACGTTGGATTCGCTATGTTCTCTGAGGTTCCGGGTGTAATTCCTAATCTCCGAGCGGAATTAGTACCCTCGCATCGCGGATAATTATTTGTCAGCAAGGTTCACTTTGGTTTAGGTAATATATAAAATTTATTCGAACATTACAATAAATACATAATAAATCGATACCATATACTTTTTATAAAGCATGCACAATACAAGAGGAAAAAAATAAAATTACGCATAATTATAAACTTAAATATAAACTACAGAAAACTACTTTATCTAATATTAGAGTTCCATTCCGACAACGAGATATTTGTAGTAGAAGGAATGTTTAAAGTTTACGTGCCACCTATGGCAAAGATTTACATCCAGTTAATCTAAACACTAACTGGACCAGATCGACAACCCGTTTTCAATGATAAAATATGAAATCTGTAGAATAAGTTTTCAACGCACAACTTTCAATTCTGATTACACGGGAAAATAAATACCACTTATTAACCGAATTTGAGGTCCTTACTAGAAAAATATAAGACAGAGGACTTGACAGTACGGAGCGAGCGATAGCGAGGTCCGTACATAAAAGACCGAGGTCTGATATTTTTCCAGTACGGACCGAACGTACTCGGTTAATAAGGGATTCATTATATGGCATACAGTATTTAGTTTTTTTATTTAGCTATACAATGCGTTGCAGCATTCTTGCCGGCCAGTCGCCAAGCAAGCACTGAAGTGGCTTCCAAAACTTTTGTTTTTTACTCGTTAAATAAGAATGATACAGTAATATAAACAAAAATCAAGGATAAATAAATATAATATTCGCATGTACCAAATAATGCTCTTCTTCGTCCATTCTCCGTCGATATTTTTCAAAAATAAAGTGCAAGCTTGTTTTTGTTCAAAAATATGAGAGTTAGACCGTTACTACGGCAACGGTCTATAATACTGGGGGATTCCAGACCGGCAAAGAACCAATCAGCGCACGTCATTTTGGTCACAAGACTGCGTGCCATATAATAATTGTTCTTACTATTAAACTGTAAGAAAATACCTTCGTTATATCTGCAATCTTTGGATCACTCTGCATGTATACGTATCAAAATGCAACCTTTCTCTCTTAAGAAATATACGATATCTCATTGTTTCTTTTGTCTATACCAACAGAAATGAACATTGAAGAAATAAAGAAATAAAGAAATTATAAATTATAAAGAAGTTATAGATATATTGTCGTAATTTCTCTTTTGTATTAGTGTAATTAATGTAGTGATATAAAGATATATAAAGATAAAAATCAATATTTAATTAACTTCGGTAATGCTCCAATTATTTTTTATAGGCAAAGAATAGAGTTGAAGAAGAAAAGCTTACCAGGAAATCAGGTAATTTGCTTTAGAATTATAACAAAATAATAACATAATTATAAATTTCGAAACATTCAGAATATCAATCGGAACAAACCAACGAGAATTTTAATATTAACTAAATCAATTTTTAACTTTTAACTTTTAATTTAATTTTTAATTACGCAATGAGAAATGTTTTAAATTATATGTCAAAATGCGTCTCATTAATGCAATATGTGCCAATGAACCTCGGGACCTGTTTTGGCGAATTTTGATTTGGATGGGGACACTAACTCTAACCCTTACCAAAAACGAATCATTCACTAGAGAAGTAAAAATCTTTATCGATCACAAATGAGCTGCTTGAAAAATTTGTGAGATCAGTAGTCTAATTTCAAAATAATATGAAAAATAAAATGTTTTCATGAAAGATGAATTTATTGAAAATTACATTGAGTTATTTTCGAGTGGGATTCGTGAAAAACTCAAGTTAATGTCAAGATGAGTAGAGAAGAAGTGTGTCAAATATCGGCCCTCTGTCGGGAATCGAATTAACCTATAGGCGTTTGCGACCCCGGTGAGCTGCATGAGCTACAGAGATAACTCACAAGAATGAGCGTAGTTGGGGCGAATAGTGAGAATCAATAATTGAATTTGACTTTGTGCCACTTTACTCAATGAAAGAGAATTTTTCTCCGTCTTAATTTTGAGTTGAAATGATACATTCAAAGGCTCCTGACAACATCGTTCATTTCAGATGTTGACGAGTGTTCCCTGGGAACTCACAAATGTCACTCAAACGCAACCTGCAATAACACTATTGGCTCCTACGAATGTCACTGTCGCAGTGGATTTTCTGGAAATGGGAAAACATGTTCAGGCAAGATTAATTATTATTTTACTTTATATATCAAAGCCCCGTGCAGCGGGCAAGTTTTCCTTCACAAGTTTTCTTGACCAGTTCATTTGTTTGTGTGTATGACGAACAAGTTTTCGCTGACAATTTCTCCTTGGCAAGTTTTATTTCCTCGTGTGTAGGCGAAAAAAATATATATGAGTATAAGTATAAATAAAATGAGTATACGACCGAATCTCAAAACAAACAGAAATGATAAAACTTTAAAAACCCACTGGATTGGCTCGAAGATTGTTGCGCTGTGCCCTATACTGCTCAATTCCTTGTCAAATTTTCCTTGACGGCCGTACACAGGAGCATTTTTCCTTGTTGAAAAGCTGGCATGACTATAGTTTTTGAATAAGGCTCCTTGTCAAGGAAAACTTCTCAATTTTTTTTGCGCGTAAACACAAGAGCAAATAAAACTTGGCAAGAAAAACTGTAAGGGCCTTAACATGTAATAGTTATATCAGCCATATATTTTACAGGCGTCAGGTTCATTTTTAACGGAAGAATTTCTTTTATGTTATAATTATAATTTATATGAACTCTTTATCGTTGATTTCAGATTTTGATGAGTGTTCCCTGGGAAGTCACAAATGTCACTCAAACGCCACCTGCAATAACACTATTGGCTCCTACGAATGTCACTGTCGCAGAGGATTTTTAGGAAATGGAAAAACATGTTCAGGCAAGATTAATTATTTCACATTATATGAATTAACATATTGTTATACTTGTATCAGCCGTATATTTTATGTGCGTCGCTCTCAGACTCATTTGTAACGAAGAATTTTTCTCATGTTATAATTAAGGTTCATGGACTTAATTTTCACCATCTTTTATTCTAGATGCTGACGAGTGTTCCCTGGGAACTCACAAATGCCACTTAAACGCAACCTGCAATAACACTATTGGCTCCTACGAATGTCACTGTCGCAGAGGATTTGCTGGAAATGGGAAAACATGTTCAGGCAAGAATATTTTATTCGACTTTTATGTATGCAAATCAAATTTAGGATGGCACCGGGATCGCAAAGGCCTGCGTTGGTTTGATTTCTGCCAGAGGATCGAGTTCTGTTTTCTCTCAAAATTAAAAGTATTAAATCCTTTTTTTAAATAATCCTTCCTCGAGTAAGTTCAAAATCAACATAATTATATCTTCCGGGTCGTAGGAAAAATCTCATTTTTTTCTTTTGGGGGGCACACGTTTCCAGAGGAACTTTTCAGTTATTAAAAAGGGCAGCTAGAATGCGCATATGCATGGGTGGCTTGGTTGTTTTAGTTCATTTTTTCCTGAACGATATAACGATTTGAAATTTAGAATGCAGATACATTTTTTTGTCTTTTACACCATGCAGTGGTGAAGGTTCTTGTTTATTTGTAAAGCAGACAAACTTAAAGTTCACGATTCACGAACCATATATATCAGAACATGAAAAAATACAGAAACTGCGAAATGTAACCTTAAGAATACGCAATGAAGATACAAACTCTTCAATGTTTCAATTTTACTTAGATAACTTGGCGAAGTAAAACTTGGCCACTTGACGTGACTTGTATTGATTTTCTTATGCTCTTAAAGAAATTTCTTTTTTGCCGGTGTGACAAAAATTAATCTGATGACTAAAACCCAGAAAATATTTAATTCCCACGGGAAAACTGCAAGGCGTTATTAACCTGTTTGCAATAAATTATAATTGCTTTTATCGGACCACTATAAGTTGTGATATAAAACCATGATATTTTCAGGTCTCCACTGCGCTGATTTGTATGAAAAGGGAAGTAAACAAAGTGGAATTTATGAAATTAATCCTGACGGAAAGGGAAGTTTCAAAGTGTTTTGTGATATGACAACATCAGGTGGAGGATGGACTGTATTTCAACGTCGTCTTGATGGAAGTGTTGACTTCTACCGAGGATGGCAAGATTACAAACAAGGTTTTGGTAACTTGAGCGGAGAATATTGGCTTGGTCTTGACAAAATACACAGGATGACAAATATTTCACAAAATGAACTTCGTATCGACATGGAAGATACATCTGGGAACACCAGATACGCTCATTATGATTCATTTAATATCAGCAGCGAAAATGAGAAGTACAAGTTGAATGTTGGAGGTTATAATGGTAAGCACGTTGCATTAAACTGAGTCAAATTTGAATGAAATTATAGGAGAGTACAGCTCTCATTACAATCAACTTTGCAGTGTATTATAAATCCAACATATTAAATATTGCATCCAGGAAAATTACCAATGAGTCATATAAATATAATTGAAACGAGGGAGTGTTGGTATTACGCTTGGTATTATGTAAAAGAATGAAATGAAATATAAAGAAAGAATGAAATATTATTTGAACGGGATGTCAAGAGAATACTATGAAATTCGAAGTGAGCTGCAGTGCGTATAGTGGAACTTAGGCTTCATAGAATTGTTCCCAAATTTATACCCTATATTCATAGTGTTTTAACATACTTTGCTACATTGATACGATTGATAATAATACAACTAATACAACTAATACAATACGTCTTACATGCTTCCCTACTATTCACGGGATAGATTTAATCAAACGACTAAATCTGAATTATTTTTTAACTTTGATTAACAATATTATACATGTATGTTATGCTATTTACGGGATGAAACAGTAAAAATGAAATTTGCGAAATCGAAACTTCAAATCACAAATTCATATTGAGGTCATAGGATTTGACGTGTAAAATGCAAGGCGCTGTTAAATACCCTGGTGATAAAATGACTCTATATTTATGTTTATATTTTGTTTAAAAAAAATTCCATTGGTCTTTTATGCAGCATTTTATCCCGATAACCGTTCTGCATTCCTCTCCGAATATTCGTTTCGTTCTGTCGATCAGTTTCGCATCCGTAATTTAATTTATATATACTTTTACATTAAGGTACAGCAGGAGATTCGTTAAAAAATCATAACGGTATGGCTTTCACTACCAAAGATTCTCAGAATGATATTGCAGGAAAAAACTGTGCTGTGGATTTCAAAGGAGCCTGGTGGTATCGTAGTTGCCATGATTCGAATTTGAATGGTTTGTATCATTATGGCAATCACACATCGTACGCTGATGGAGTGAACTGGTACGGTTGGAAAGGTCATCATTATTCTCTGAAATCAACATCGATGAAGATACGACCACGTCAATTTGGAAAGAAGAAATAAGGTCGTTTTATACATTCTCTATTTATTGTTATTATTAGAAGTGTGACACATATGGCAGCTGTGAAGCTGAATTGCGTGCAAAGTAGATAAAAATATATAAACTGCAATATATTAAAAGAATTGAAGTAGAAAAATATGAATAGCTAATTAGTATAAGGCAAGGCTATTTACAATTGTCTGCATTAGAAACTCTAACCGACGACGAAATAAAAGTATTTGGAAATCTATTTGTTTTTGCTTTGTAGTCATAAATGGGCGAATTTGCCTCAGATCATACTTTGTTTCCAGCTTGGGAGGCAAAAGATACGCGAACTTGTGATTACGAATGTTTATTATTTCATTAAAAAGTTTCTTACATGCTTCTATATGGGTTGAAGGATAAGCAATCTTCATAACTTAAAGAGACATAGCAGTAAAAATTATTTCTGTTTTGTTGAAAAGAAAATTTGCACTTCTTATACAGCTTTTTTATAAAATTTGTTTATCTTCCTGTCTTCGCAAGATATTGGCGATCAAAAACATCGGATATCGAGATATTTCCGCCATTTTGTTTTATAATGAGATCTAATTATGTGACGTCAAAAGTAGGGTTAACGCTTAAAATATATCAATTACATGTTTACGTTTAGAACACTTACAATTGAAACGTTATAATTTGAGATACGTGCGATTGTAATACCATGATACTATCACTTCTCCGAATCGTTAATTTGAAGTTACAAAACGACTTTTCACCCAGCTTATGACGTAACGCATATCAGAGCAAGCATATGCATATCCAAAATGCCGGATGTCATCAGCATGGATAACAGTGCCCAAAAAGGATATCAAAGCCAGGCTCAGCAAAGTCAGGTGTGCATTTAGTAGACTCAAAAACATCTGGAAGTCTAAGAATTACAGCCTTAGAACCAAAGTGCGTATTTACAACAGCAACGTTAAATCTGTACTGCTTTATAGCTCAGAATGCTGGAGAATTGTCAAGAGCGACATAAATATAAAGTCAATGTCTTTCACAACAGCTGTCTACGACGAATCTGTAACATCTTTGGTCCAAAAAAATTTCTAACCACGACTTGTACCAGAAGACCGAGTGTAATAGTATGGAGCAGGAAATTAGGAAGCGTCGCCTCAGATGGCTGGGGCATGTCTTCAGAATGTCACCAGACAGGATCCCGAAAATTGCACTACAATGGACGCCAGCAGGGAAAAGGAAGAGGGGTAGACCGAAGACCACATGGAGAAAGACGATTGAAAGGGAATTGAAGGAGATGGGCCTATCTTGGGGAGAGGCCCAGGCTGCAGCTAAGAACAGGGACCAATGGAAAGAGTACATAAGTGCGGCCCTATGCCCCACTGGTGGCCACAAGGACTGAAGAGAAAATGGCGGATGGAAGAAAATTTCATTCAAAAATATCTTCAGAAGTAATAAAGTTCCGTAAATAAATTTTACACATAATTATGACGTTCTTTTAAAATAGACAATGATCATTTTTATTCCCGTATCCCTTTAAATTAGGGTATAACCGACACCGCACATTTTTGCACACGTTCAATAGCATTTGAAAAATAGTATTTTTAAACCGTAGTGGTACACTTGGCAGTTCTAGAACTTGCCTGATACAGACGCAGTAACAGCTTAAAATGTCCGCTGGTGGATTTTTTGCCTGTTCACCTTCTGATAATCTTAAGAATTTCGCGACTTAAATTAGCCCCGACTTATTTTAGACGAGCTCTTAGGGGCTGTTCACATGAGCCCGGTTACGGAGATTTAACAAAGCGTAAAATGGACTTTGAGGTATTGAAATGAGTAAATAACACGATTCTGGTAGTCGTGAAGTCATCCTAACAATAGCATTTGATTGTTTTGTTTGAAAAAGACTATTTTCAATTCCTGAAAGTCCATGCATTTTACACTTCGTTAAATCTCGGTAACCGGGCTCATGTGAACAGCCCTAAAGCCTGGCATAATTTAGGCCGGCTTATTTTAGCCACGACCTAATGGAGCGTTCATACGACTGTTCGCGAGTTATTTAAACCGCGGCTTATTTTGCATGGCTTGTATAAATGGCCCTAGGAGGGCCTAATGATCCCATTTGGCAGATTTAGCGCGAGGACGTGAAACTCAAAGAAAACGTCAAATAAATGGCGTGATGCGCATTAAATGAATAATATGAAATCGATGATAAAATTCTGAGCAGTTTTTTCAACAAGCAGCACAACTGTTGTGCTATTTGCTAATGGAACTTGTTTCCCATTCCTAATAGACATGCCACGTTATTTATTCGCCATTAACTTTCCGGCTTACCCTTTTTGACGTTCACGTGCTCGTCCCTACCTATATGTATACCTAAATCTGCACTGACAAAGTTCAAGAGTGAAAACCAAAGTGATAATGTTTTTTTAAAAGAATCTCGTGAACAAGACAATCAAACTGAAGCACTTTGAAACAGCTAAGAATGTCAGCCTGAGAGGCCCTGAACAAAATGTTTCATTTTGTCCCTACATTCTGTATTTGGGTTTAGTTGACGATCTACGACGCGGTTTGCTGACTTTGGTCGACGTCGCTAGTCAAATACATATTTTGCTTGAAATAATAAGCTACGGAAAGTTAATTATGCTGCCAGGACTTTGAAATATTCATACAAACGTTCCAATGTCGTTTGCTGTCAATGCTATCGACTATCGACTAAATTCGAGTCCGTATACCTACATATTTCTGATTACAATAAGCTTCCATCCAATAATTTCAATTTTTCTTGCATCCTTTGTAACGGTTCTTGTTGTAAATTTCAAACATTTACTTTGTATTAACAATTCTTAATAATTTACAACAATAAATGGGCGTTTATGGCCCGTTAATGCCAGGCTGCCAAATAAGAGACGTTAATATTTAATACGCAGCTTGCGCTTAAATTATTTATTTGGTGTTGAGTGCTACTAACATGCAAATTAGTATTTTATTACTGTTCGTCCATGCAGTTTCTACGCAAACCAACTGCTCAAATAAAGTCGGGAAATAATTTCCAGTATACCTTTTTCACAGTTGTGGTAAGTCATTTTAATATTAAAATATATATTGCACATGATTTTGCTCCAAAATATATTTGGAGTTGGAAGGCAGGTAATAATATAGGCAAAATGTGCACCGTGTTTACCATACTTACCCTTGACGAGCATATTCAAACCTAGCTAATAATGTAAATTTGTCTCTTTCCCTGACCAGCTTACTCAATACGAGTGCCTATGCCTTCGGACCCTAGGGTTGCGATTTCTCCTTTTAAACCTTTAAAAGCTTAAAAAATTTTGCGGCTGATACGGAATTTTTTTGAAACAAGTGAATTGAGTGAAATCATTTTTTAATTGCCGTCAAAATAAAGTGTTGAAGATAACCCAACTTTGACAAAACTGCATGACAAAGGCTAAAAGGCATCCCATTGAATGATTAGCCATTTTGCATGCAAGCGCTGACCACGTGTTCTATATTTTGTTCGTTATATGAACATACATAATGGCACAGGCGATTGCAAAAATATGCTTTGTAATAATACATGAGAAATCCGAAAATATAGCACAGAATAACATAGTTTGATAAAATTTAATGGGCAATGGATCACTAACGATGTACCATTTGTCTCAGCTGTTTTTATATAGAAAACGTATCTATCGTATTCATAGCAACAAGTCGAATTTCCATTTTTTCTGTTATATGAATGGTTGTACGAAAACGCACAGGAATCTCATGTTCCAAAATCATCAGATCCGAAAATACAAAATTAATATCCAAAACCCACTTTTTTTGGACTTGCGTGCAATGCGTATTTGAGTAGGAGCTTACACCGTCAAAATGTTTGACCATATGAGACTATTAATTGCCATAACAACGGAGATATTGTGGGCTACATAATTTGTTAAAAAACATTTATAATAGAATAATAAAATAGCATAATAAAACGCCATCTTTTTGCTACATTATCGGAGATATTACATTTAGTTTCAACATAAGATTCAATCAGGAATCTCAATTTTACCACATCGAAAAATGATGTTAATTGCATGGAGTTGATTTTGAAAATGACATGTTTTAATCCCTTGGACTTGTTTTAGCACTGACCCAAGCACGCAGCACGTATATTGCTACATTAGAAATCAAAGTTGAAAACAGTAAAATAAACACTAAAATAAGTAAAAATTTAGCTTTATTTCAGTAATTTTTTGTCACTCTTAACTCAAACTCTTCCCAGTCCAACAGTTTTTCAAACTAAAAGCGTTCGCTTGCCTACTAGCTTACGATTGTAAGTGGATTACGTGGCTATAGCAACTTAATTGAATTTCATACTTTCAAGAAACACAGCCAACATCATATCTCGTGATCATTTTCTATTTGTCTTTTCTCGGTCATAACTGCGAAAAATATCTTCCAGAATTACAGAGTCAGACAAGAGACGATTTAAACGATGTTTGTAGCGGCCAGCTTAAGCTTGCTGTTGCTTGCTATTGGAAACATTTCAGCAAACCAATGTTCCCCGACGAATTACGACACAATCATAAAAGGTGAGTATTGTCGAAAAAAGTAAGAGAAAAAAATATTGTCCTGAAACACCATTTAAATGTTTCTATGATGAAATCAGTCCCGAATAAAACGCATAATTTTAGTTGAAATTTAGACATTAATTCGACTTTCAAGAATTTTGTTGAAATTTTTAGGAGGTCATCGTCAGTTGTCATGTTACGATGTCACACTCACTACAAAGACGAAGACAAATGTGTTGGATTCAACTACAGAACAGCAAAAAATGTTGAAAATTGCCAACTGACCAACGTTACTAGAAAGAAAGAAGAAACGAAAACGGGAGATTGGATATTGCTGCAAGATGAAGCGGTAAGATTGATAAATGGCAAAGTCAGCGATATTTAACGGTTTTTATACTGCAAACAACAACAATTTCAAACATGCTTGTTTATAACGATGCTAAACATGGCACAATGAAAACGATAGAGATACGATATCGTCATAGGACCTCCGTTGTAATGACACAAAGCAATCAGGGTTGTTTTCGCCAGTTTCAGTAATTAAGAAAGGGTGTTGTTCGAAATTTGTTTACGATTTTGTTTGAAGAACTTAAAAAACATGTTCCGAAGTCTGAACTCAAAATTTGAACTTTTAATCATATAACTAACATTAAATAAACTGTGGTTTTGGCACATTTTTTGTTCTGCGAACAAGATTAGATTGTCTGCAGCAAGCATCCCTAGTACAATTCTATGTACGAGTTTCAAAAACCGGTAAAATTATTTGCAAGCAAGGTTCACTTTGCATGGTTTACGTAATTAAATCATTCCTCTACTGCCCCAAGTTTTCTGAGCTTAATTTATGTCCAACAATGTTAAAGATTGCAGAAACGATTTACTAGTTTTCTACATTTTACAGAGTATTTTACGTACCACCTATAGCCAAGATTTACATCCAGTTAATATAAACACTAACTGGACCACATCGATGACCCGCTTACAATCAACAAAATATGAAATACGTAGAATTAGTTTACAACACACAACTTTCAGTTCTGATTACACCGGAAAAAAATTGTTCTTATTAAACTGTAAGAAAATATTTTCTCCATATTTGCGATCTTTGGACCACTGGGCATGCATTTGTACCAAAATACAACTTTTTCTTTTCTTAAGTAATATACGGTATTTCATGTTTCTTTTGTCTATGCCGACAGAAATAAACATTCAGGAAATAAAGAAATTATATATTATAAATAATAAAGAATAAAGAAGTTTGGAAAATTTGTCGTAATTTCCAAATACTGTTGTATTAGTGTAATTAATTTAGTGATATATTAATTAATGTACAAAGATAAAAATCAATAATCATGTAACCAGTAATCATGTAACTAATTTTTATAGGCAAAGAATAGAGTTGAAAAAGAAAAGGTTACCAGGAAATCAGGTAATTTGCTTTAGAATTATCACAAAAATATAATTTTTGGAATATCATTCGGAACAAACCAACGAGGGTTTTAACATTAACTAAATTAATTGATTAACTATTATGCAATGAGAAATTTTTTAAAATATCTGTCAATATGCACCACATTAATGCAATACGTCACCAATGAACTTCGCGACCACTTTTGGCGAATTTTGATTTGGATGAGGACCCTAACCTTAACCCTTATCAAAAAACGAATCATTCGTTAGCGAAGTAGAAATGTTGATCGAGCCCGAAGGAGATGCGTGAGATCAGTATAGTCTAATTCCAAATTAATATGATGAATAAAATCTTTTCATGCTTGAGGGATGATCTAAGTGAAAATTTCATTGCCTTAATTTCTAGTCGAATTCATGAAAAACTCAAATTAAAGCCAGGACGAGTTGAGGAACGGGCCTCCGGCAAGAATCGAATTACCCTATACGCCTTTGCGACCCCGGCGCAATGCCCCTGCATGAGCTATAGAGTTAACTCGCAAGAACGAGCGTAGTTGGTGTGAATTTAGCATCGTGATTCCTGCGAGTAGGTGAAAATAAATCACTGAATTAAAACTTTGTGCCACTATCACTTTATTCAATGAAGGAAAATTTTTTCGGTCCTAATTTTGAAAGAAATGATACACACATATAGGCTCCTAACAACATCGTTTATTTCAGACGTTGACGAGTGTTCCCTGGGAACTCACAAATGTCACTCAAACGCAACCTGCAATAACACTATTGGCTCCTACGAATGTCACTGTCGCGGAGGATTTGCTGGAAATGGGAAAACATGTTCAGCCAAGATTAATTATTTCACATTACATGTATTAACATGTTAGACTTGTATAAGCCATATATTTTATAGGCGTTATTATAGTTTATGAACTCTTTATCGTTTATTTCAGACGTTGACGAGTGTTTCCTGGGAACTCACAATTGTCATTCAAACGCAACCTGCAATAACACTATTGGCTCCTACGAATGTCACTGTCGCAGAGGATTTGCTGGAAATGGGAAAACGTGTTCAGGCAAGATTATTTTAATCGATTTTTTTATACAGCAAGGGGTTCGAACCAAGAAGACAAGATTCGTCGATATGAGCATTTCTAGCTGTAAGGAATCTGGTACGACATTGTCTCTCTTATGCAGTCGAGCGTACCAGCATTCTTTTGACAAATAAATTTCTTAAATGCAATGCATGAAGATAATTATATCAAACAGTTTAAGTGGTCTTCAACTAGGCTTCTGACAAGATCGTTTATTTCAGACGTTGACGAGTGTTCCCTGGAAACTCACAAATGTCACTCAAACGCAACCTGCAATAACACTATTGGCTCCTAGGCTCCTATTTTACATTAATTATATATTAAAATCAGCCATTATATTTTACAGTTGTCTTCGTCAGATTCATTTTTAACGCAAGAATTTTCTCATGTTATAATTATGGTTCATGAAGATAATTTTCACTATCGTTCATTTCAGATGCTGACGAGTGTTCCCTGGGAAATCACAAATGTCACTCAGGCGCCACCTGCAATAACACTATTGGCTCCTACGAATGTCACTTTCGCAGAGGATTTTTAGGAAATGGGAAAACATGTTCAGGCAAGAATATTTTAATCGAATTTATAAATGCAAAATTTACGATGGCACCGGGATTTACCAAAGGATCGATAGTTGATTCATTTTTCGTAACTGTTCCCTGACTGAATTTGTGTTTTCATCTCAAAATCAAAAGTGTTAAACCCTTTTCTAAGTTGTCCTTCATCGAGTAAGGTGCCACAAAATCAATATATTTATATCTTCTGGGGAGGTAGGAAGCATCTCAATTTTTTCGTTGGGTGGCACAAGTTCCCAGGCTTTTTTGCCGGTGTGACAAAAAATAATCTGATAGCTGAAACTCAGAAAAGAATTAAATCCCACCGGAAAAACTGCAAGGGGTTATTAACCTGTTTGCAATAAATTATGATTGGTTTTATTGGACCACCAATTAACTTGTAATATAAAACCATGATGCTTTTCAGCTCTCCGCTGCGCTGCGGCATTTATGAAATTGACCCTGACGGAAAGGGAAGTTTCAAAGTGTTTTGTGATATGACAACATCAGGTGGAGGATGGACTGTATTTCAACGTCGTCTTGATGGAAGTGTTGACTTCTACCGAGGATGGCAAGATTACAAACAAGGTTTTGGTAACTTGAGCGGAGAATATTGGCTTGGTCTTGACAAAATACACATGATGACAAACATTTCACAAAATGAACTTCGTATCGACCTGGAAGATACGTCTGGAAACACCAGATACGCTCATTATGATTCATTTAATGTCAGCAGCGAAAGTGAGAAATACAAGTTGAATGTTGGAGGTTATAATGGTGAGCATTTTACATTAAATTGAGCAAAATTGAAAGAAATTATAGGAGAGTCCAGCTCTCTTTACAATCAACTTTGCAGTGTACTATAAATCCAGCATATTAAATATTGCACCCAGTAAAATTATCAATGAGTTATATATAAAGGTGAAACGAGGGAACGTTCGTATTACGCCGAGAAATGTATCCCGGGATGGAACAGTCAACATGACATTTGCAAAATCACAAATTCAAATTACAAATTCACATGTCACCGTGAAGTGTGAGCGACGATCTGACTACCTGACGTAGCATAATTATGTGTATCTACATTTATTTGTAATTTTATTTGCCATTTATTTTAATTTATATATGGCCACTTTTACCTTAAGGTACAGCAAGAGACATGTTTTCATATCATAGCGGTATGCCTTTCAGCACCAAGGATTCTGACAATGATCATGATGGACACAACTGTGCAGTTCAATACAAAGGAGCCTGGTGGTATCGTAGTTGTCATCGATCCAATTTGAATGGTTTTTACTATTATGGGCATCATTTATCGCACGCTGATGGAGTCAACTGGAGAGATTGGAAAGGATATCATTATTCTCTGAAGTCAACTTCAATGAAGATACGACCACGTGAATTTGGAAAGAAGAAATAAAGTTGTTTTATACATTGTCTATATTTATTATTACGATTATTATTATTATTAGAAGTGTTACACATTGCAACTGTGAAGATGAATTGCGTGCAAAATAGATAGAAATATATAAGCTACAATATATAAAAAGTATTGAAGTAGAAAAATATTAACACTAGCTACGTAGTTAATTAGTTTAAAGCAAGGCTATTTACAATTCAATTTCTGCATAAAAAACTCTAACCGACGACGGAATAAAAGTATCTGAAAAATCTATTTGTTTTTGCTTTGTATCAGTGAAAGGGCGAATTTGCCTCAGATAATACTTTATTTCCTGCTTGGGAGGCAAAGATTTGTCAACTTGTTGTCAGGAATGTTTACTATATTTCATTAAAAAGTTTCTTACATGCTTCTTCACGTCTGCATGCAACTAAGTTTTCCAACACCGCTGAAGGATAAACTATCTTCGTAACTTAATTAGGGTATATAACCGACATCTCACGTTTTTGCACTCGTTCAATAACATTTGAAAGATAGTATTGTAATCCGTAGTGGTACACTTGTCAGCTGTGTTCTAGAACTTGCCTGATGCAGGTGCAGCAACAGTTTAAAATGTCCACTGGTAGAATTTTTGCCCGTTCACCTTCTTGATAATCTTAAGAATGTGTTTGTTACTCCGCCTGCGTATGCGCAGCGGAGTCTTAAAATGCCATGGTCTTTTTTCCTTTTCGTCGTAGTTTTGGGCGACAGAAGTTGGCATTTCTACAGGTAACCCAAAACATTTTCACCGAGAAGCCCTGGGTTACACGGATGAATTATGTACATCAGTTGGCATTAAGGGAGGTTTGGGGGTGATTTTGTGCAATGTTTATTTTTCTTTGTGTCCTTGTGCCTCGTGTTTCGACGTTCTTCCCTTGTGAAAAATTGAAAAATATGAATGTCGAATTGAAAGAGCTTTCAGAACCATGTTCAACAACTACAAAGGTAAGTTGTTAAGATTTAGATTGTATTCATATGCTGTGGCGGTGATCGCATATTAGTAAACCCAAGATTTTCTGTTTTATAGTTGATTTAGTGATTCACGTTGACGTAGTGTTTTAATACAAATTAGGTATATACAAAGTACTGTTTGCTCTCAGAAATTATACATACTACAAGTTTAGCGACCCTGCATGCTTAAGAATTCGATATGTACTATTTAAAACACGAGTAGGAGTGTTTTATGCGGTATAAAACGCGAGGCGCAGCCGAGCGTTTTATAGCGCATAAAACACGACCTACGAGTGTTTTGAATAGCTTAAAATACGACATTATTATTTAATAGACGTTGGGACCAATCGGATTGAACATGAACTTTATGTAAAGCCACATGTGTCTTTATATAAAGCCACATGTGTCTTTATATAAAGCCACATGTGTCTTTATATAAAACAGTGTCCTGATAGTGCTTTATCGAGTATAAACGCCTATTCACGTGTTTAAAAAGGTTCATTGGATTGGTCAAAACGTCTATTGAATATTAATGAGTTTTTTAATTTTATTTACTAGAGTCTATTAATTTAAATGTATAAATGATTACAAAGCCTGGTCGAATTGTAATCAAGACCCAACATTTTGACAATCCAGTCTTTGGCAGGTGACGTCATCTCTTGGGTATCTAAGAAGCTTTGATTCCAGCTTTAGATCACCCCTGATGAAGACAGTAGACTGGACTGTCGAAACGTTAGGTCCTGATTACAATTTGACCAGGCCTTGTGATCATTTATATAAACCAGGGTAGCGAGCGATAACAGGGTTAAAATGGGGTATTAAAACTGTTCCTATTACAGGATTGATTTGCCAAACTTATAAAACTTTATTTTTGTTCTAATTTACAGGTTTTGGTGCTCATTTGCAGGAAGTTGCAAAAAAATTAATGTTCCTGAGCGTGAATTCCATGAATGCACATTTGAATACCAAGTCACATTAGAATACCAAGTCACATTTGAATACCAAGTCACATTTGAATACCAAGTCACATTTGAATGCTTAACTTAGCTTTGAATGCCAACGATGAAGTTACAATGAATAAAGTTATATTAATTAATGAAGTTACATCAGTAAACAAAGTTAAGCAACTGAATGAAGTTACATCATTTAATAAAGTTACATGAATGAATAAAGTTGCATTAATGAATAATTTCATATTAATGAATACAAAATGTATAACAAAAAATCCCAAACGTATGACAGACAACAGTATGACAGACAACAGTACAAAAGGCACCTCATTTTGTCACCTGTAGTGTTTCCTCACCTGCAGGCGGAGTAACGCCTTGAACAGGCGTCTTGTTTCACTTTATATCGCTTCTAATAGTCAGACCTAGTATCTCAGCATGGGTGACAACTTCAAGGTGCTTACCGCCGACCAAACGATGCTCTCGCATGGTGAATCATGGTCAGATCTTTTAAGACAGAACCCTAATTCTTTGCATTTAGTATTGAGTTGTAAATTGTTTGTTGTGGACCAGTGTTGCATGATGTTGACGGAGTTTTGAATTATATTTATCTTATATACTCATACGTACAACTTCGGAAACTGTGGTCTCGTCGATGTATTTCCAAACAGTCGTTTTCTGGAGTTCTCAGATCGTTAATCATTAAAATTTAAAATGAAGAGCCACGGGCCTAGTTTTGTGCCTTGTGATCCACCAGAGCTAGGGCACTCCATCCCACTCTGAGTAAAAATCATTCAACAACTTAACACGTTGAAACCTATTTGATGGAAAATCTAAGATCCACTTCTTCACAAATGACGGAATGGATAGCTTGTCAAAATATGATGGTTCATCAGATTTAAAGTTCTCCCGGCGGTAATCGAATAATACCAATCGAACAACATTTCTAGTTCCGTCAGTGGCCTGCGACCATTTATGCACCATCCAGATAAGTGCGTGGGTTGCTGTTGAACGTGGAATACCGCCAAATTTTTGACAAGTCGCGGTTTGCACAGGATTGAAGATTTAATACAAAGTGTAAGACATTTGAAGGTATCATGCGGCAACAATTGAACTTCTGTACTTTTTGAAGTACGATGTGCTTCTGAATTTTGCGATTGAACAACATTTAGATTTTAGGTTCGCAAGGCACGTAAATGAGCATGAACATTGTTTATGTTGAGAAGCTTCAAGCTTTATATTCAAGACTGACACGTGCAAAGCACGCCGGAGTTAACGCCAGAACAGGCGTCTTGTTTCAGTGTAAATCGGGTCTCATTAAAACACTTAAAGATCGCATTTACAAAATTAATAACAACGAATATGGCCTCAACACCGATCTTAAAGAACTTACTAACACACTTTAACGCAATTCGTTCCCACAACATCTGGTTGAACGCGTCAGCATTCTTACAATAACAGGATGTAATTCCTTTTGCATGGGGGAAACCACCCGTCATCACGCCACAAAGTTCAAAGAACCCACCTCCACTGACAAAAACGTCTACAAACACTCACAAACCCTAACTGCAATACACCCGCTCTTAATTCACTATCCTAGACACTGCTAACATTTTCTTCTCTCTCAAACTTAAGGAGGCTCTGTACATACGCAAACCACAATTCAGACCTTAACAAACAGGTTCAGCATTTTAATGTCAGATAATGTCATCACAATACATAAAACAGCCTAGTCGCTAGCCTCTTATTATAAGTTCCTTATACACCCGCCGAGGCGAAAACTGAGAGGCCTAGAACAAAATATGTTTTGTATTTTGTCTACGACGCGATTAGCTGATTTTGCTTGACGTCACTAGTGAAATATTTTGCTGGAAGTAAGCTACGGGAAGTTAATTATGCTGCCAGGACTTTGAGATATTCATACAAACGTTGCAATGCCATTCACCGTCAACGCTATCGATCATCGAGCAAACTCGAGTCCGTCCATACATGTTTATAATTATAATAAGCTTCAATACGCCTATTTCAATTATTTTTGTTTCATTAAGTTACAACGGTTCTTCTTGCAAATTGCAAACATTTACTTCGTGATAACAATTCTTAATAAAAGACAACATTAAATGGGCGGTTACGGGGCGTTAGCCTTAGCATTTGTTTCCTCGCCAGAGGAATCGCGAGCTCGGGGAACGAGATTGCAGAATACATGCAATGGAAGACAGGCCTGGGTACGAAGGTTGAAAAATTGGCCGTAGATAAACTGCCAAATAAGAGACGTTAATATTTAATATGCAACTTGCACTTAATTTATTGCTGTTGAGTGCTACTAACATGCAAATCAGTATTTTATTACTGTTCGTCTATGCAGTTTCTACGCAAACCAACTGTTTCAAATAAAGTCCTGAAATAATTTCCAATATATCTTAATCAGAGTTGTGGTAAGTCATTTTAACATTAAATTATATTTCTAATGACTTTGTTTCATGAAATGCGGTCAAATGTTGTGTTAATTTAGGAGTTTGTAGGTTAAAGATGCCCTTTGATAACAGAAACTTAATATAATCCCTCAATTAACAAAGAACGGAGTTAAACTTAGAAAAGAGCAATTCTGAGACTGAAATTGAATTCGTCGGCTGTTTAAGATTGTTGCCTGCGATTGCCGGCCGTGCAATTAAGACTCACACGAAATGCAGGCTATTTTATAAATACGAAGTATTCAATATTTTTCTTAGCTTTAGATTATTTCAAGCAGTTTAGAAATTTAATGTGTGAGATAAGAGCACTAAGTTGCCTAGAGCCTTTAAAGAAAAAATAAACGAACTGTATCAATTCAAGATAACTACCTGCTTACACAAATGAGTTTGCCTCAATCGTATCGCAAAATTAATCAACTTGGCTAAACTGACATTTGAAAAATATCTTCTGTGATATCGAGTATTGTCCTCACAAGGCAAAAATCTCTGGCTCTCCTGCATGGTCATATCCGCATTGCCTCAATTCCTCGTTCTTGCAGGAGACGGTCACTCTGCATGTTGGTGAGTTTGCATTTAGCGGTTGACAGTAAAGGTTGCCTCCCTCCTTTACTAAACATAAATATGTGTTGTTTTAAACAGATATGTTATAGAAATAATATCGTTCTGTTTGATAAGAATAAGCGAGCGAGGAGAACTATTTCTTGTAAACAAAATTATCCAGCGAAATTGCGCACGATTCACTTTGTTTTAAATTGATGGTGTGGCAATGGGCTCTCCTTTAGCTCCGGTTCTGGCCAATCTTTTCATGGGCCACCACAAAAGAAATTGGATTAGGAATTACACCGGAAATAATAATATGATATTTTAATATAAAATAAAATAATACAATATAATATAATATAATATATATTTTTTTTCGTCGTCGCAAGTGTGTTTTGGCGTGAAATATGCTAGTTTTTGAAAAGTGTATATAACCGTATTTATCTACGTCACAGTTTTGTCTCCCAAAAGTTGTGGTGCACAGCTCGAAATCTTTGCCTAATTTTCCGTTGAGCGATTGGATTTCGCTCGCATGATAAGGCACTTTCTCCATGAGGAAGAATAAACCGTTTTTTTGATGCTGTTCGATTAAGTTTAGATTTAATTGGGGTAAGAATATATTTGATACATATAAATTTTGGTCCTATTTTAAATTGTTATCGCTGCATGATATTTCGCTGTTTAACAAGATGTTGTCGTGTATGGGCGCGTTGACACGTCACAGTTTGCACAGGATTGAAGATTTAATATAACTATATAAGCGCGAATTCCAAAATGTAAGATAAAGTGAATGTATCATGCCGTTTATTTACATTTTTGAACAATTGAACTTCTATACTTTTTAAAGTACGATGTGCTTCTGAATGTCGCGATTGAACAACATTTAGATTTTAGGTTCGCAAGGTACGTAAATGAGCATGAACACTGTTTATGTTCAGAAGCATTAAGCTTTATATTGAAGACTGACACGTGCAAAGCACGCCCGATTTAACGCCAGAACAAGCGTCTTGTTTCGGTGTAAATCGGGTCTCATTAAAACACTTATAGATCGCATTTACAAAACGCAATTCGTTCCCACAACATCTGTTTGAAGGCGTCAGCATTCTTACAATAACAGGATGTGATTCCTGTTGCATGGGGGAAGCCACCCGTCATCACGCCACAAAGTTCAAAGAACACACCTCCACTGACAAAAACTCACACGTCTACAAACACTCACAAACCCTAACTGCAATACACCCGCTCTTAATTCACTATCCTATAGACACTGCTAACATTTTCTTCTCTCTCAAACTCAAGGAGGCTCTGCACATACGCAAAGACAAACCAGACCTTAACAAACAGGTGCAGCATTTTAATGTCAATGTTATAAGTTCCTTATACACGCGGCCAGGAGAAAACTGAGAGGCCTAGAACAAAATATGTTTTGTATTATTCCCCACTTTGTGTATTGAGGTTAGTTGACGATCTACGACGGGGTTAGCTGATTTTGCTCGACGTCGCTACTGAAATATTTTGCTTGAAATAAGCTACGGAAAGTTAATTATGCTACCAGGATTTTAAATTTATCATACAAACGTGGCAATGCCATTCGCCGTCAATGCTATCGATCATTGAGTAAACTCGAGTCCGTCCATACATGTTTATGATTATAATAAGCTTCAATACGCCAATTTCAATTATTCTTGTTTCATTAAGTTATAACGGTTCTTGTTGTAAATTGCAAACATTTACTTCGTAATAACAATTCTTAATAAAAGACAGCATCAAATTGGTGGTTACGGGGCGTTAGCCTTAGCATACGTTTCACAATACATTCGATGGAAGACAGGCCCTGGGTACGATGGTTGAGAAATTGGCCGTAGATGAACTGCCAAATAAAAGACGTTAATTTTTAATATGCCAGCAGGAGACGGGAAAATTTGTTTGTGACTTTGTAGGAGTTGACAGTAACGGTTGCCTACGTCCTTTCCTGATCATAAATATGTGTTGTTTAAAGATATGTGTGTTGATAAAATTAATATCGTTCTAATTGATAAAAATAAACGAGCAAAGAGAACTATTTTTTGTAACCAAAATTATCCGAAGATTTGCGCATGATTTATTTTGTTTAGATGCTCAGAAATTAGAGCTTCAGGACTATGAAAGTTTGCATGCATGTTTGTCCGTCAATATCTACGAAAATGCATTATATAAAAACAAACAACTTCCGAAGAATGTAAAGCCATATTGAAATTCAAAACATGCATTAATAAAACAACTCTGTCAAAAGATGAGTGTAAATTTTTATGTGCACTGTGTCTGCATGATGTGTGTATGAGTTTATGCCTCGGCGCGATGTTGTATGAAATTTCTGCTCATAAAACTTTTAACTGCAGTTCCTTGGAAGAACCAACACAAACCTTCTAAACCTCGTCTTCACGCCATGCACTAAAACTAAAGTAAATTGTGATACATGAATAGGATCATGTATAATTATACAAATAAAATGAAAATTAGTCAAAAATGAAATTTTTAAATTTAAATTTTGGTGTTGATCATAAAATAAAACGAGTAATATTTTTATCAATATGTGTGTTACGACGTACTTAAATAATAATAACATTATTAAATAATAACATTAAAACACGTCTTTAGCTTGGCTTCTGTCATTTTAAAAAGAAAATGATAAAATACCGTAATAAAAGAACATCTTTTTGCTACACTATCAGGTTGCATGAATACCTGTTTAACACCTCAACCAAAAGATTGCATCTGATTAGGAATATTTATTTTTACCGAGTCAAAAATGCTGTTTGGAGTTTATTTTGAAAATGTACTTGTTTTAGACATCCCTTACTGGACTTGTATTAGTGCTGATGTAAATTTCTCTTACCCAATATTACCTGTATTATTGCCACAGACGTAGTTATAATATATTCAAATATGCACACTTAACGTTTACGTTATCGGATAAACTTGGTGAGGTAAAAACTCGCCAGTTAAATTAAAGCGGAAAGAACTATTTAACATGCAGCTGCACAGTAACATTATATAAAAGTCGGACTTGAAAAAAGTTATGTATAACTTATATAACTATTTCGTTTTATTTATCTACTTTTTGCGCTAACTAGTTATTATCGCAAAAATGCAAGATTGAAGAAGGACAACCACCACTTAACTTACTTTCTCTTCTCCATCGCCATTTGCTTTTTGGTGGCCTTTTTTAACTGTTTTGAATCCTTGTTTGTCACACTAAACGGAAATTAATTTGGTCGAAAAAAGCTTCCCTCGTTTCATTTTTCTCTTGCATTTTTCTTTTTTGTTTCACTTTCTTAAAGATCTATTAATTATATAATTCTATTAATTAGATTATATTAATGTATAATATGCAGCTTGTAATTAAAATGATTTGTTTTTCACCAAACGGGTGAACAAATGCAGGCATAAGAGTTTACATCCCTTGGACTTAAACATGCGGCATGTACAATAAAAGTCAGAGTTGAAAACAGTAAAATAATTTATATAACTATTTAGTTTTATTTAATTAATTTTTTACTTTATTCTAATTAACTCAAAACCGTCAAGGATACTTCAAACCCTTAGCTGACTAACAGTATAGTGAAAATTAAAGACCGCCGCTTCCCTACTTATGATAATATGATTGTAATTCGATTACGTTGCTATAGCAACTTAATTGAATTTTTTTTCTATGAAACACAGCCTCAAGATCCTTTTGTATTCGTCTCTTTCTCTGATAAATATCGTCCTATATTATCGAGTCGAAAAACGACAATTTAAACGATGCTTGTTGCGGTGACTTTAAGCTTGCTGTTGCTTGATATTGGAAACATTTCTGCAAACCAATGTTCTCAGAAGAGATACGACGCAATCATAAAAGGTGAATCGTCTTTCCATGTTTTTTAGTAAAACATATTGTCGTGAAATATCGTTTAATACTTCATATGATGAAAACGATCTATGATTCAAACGTTAGACATTTTTCATTCGAAAATCAGTGTTGTTCGAATTTTGTTAAAATACTTAGGCGGTCCATCTTTACCTGATGACGAAATAATATCAAGACACAATATTACGTCTTTGTTTGTCATGTTCGAGTGTCACAATCATTGCAATAACAAACTCGAATGTGTTGGATTCAACTACAGAACAACAAAAAATGTCGAAAATTGTCAACTGACAAACGTTACTAGAAAGAAAGAAGAAACGAAAACGGGAGATTGGATGTTGATGCAAGATGTTGAAGCGGTAAGATTGATAAAATCTAGGCATAATTACGTAATTCCATAAAACATGACAAAGTCACTGATTGTAATCGCTTAACGATGCTGCAAAATACAATCAAATTCCAAAGATTAATTTATAGTTTCTTTATAACGTTAATTAACAGAATTTAAATTATAGAAATATGCTAAAAGGCGTATATAAGCCCAAGGGTGTAGAAGGCATCGAGAGATTAAGGGGGGGGGGGGGGGCGACCGCTCCCTGGGGCACTTTCAGTTAAAAAAAAGGAGGCTAAAATATGTATAGTGTATACGGATGGTTTGATTGCCAAATCTGCAATAGCGCGATAACTAGTATGAGTTATATTTATGCTATACAAAAATATTTCGGCATGAGTGAGTGGGCATACGAAGCAGGGACCAAAAAGGGTTGTGTCTCGGATTTTAAAATAATATTTGAAGCTATAATTAGCTTGTCCAAAAACGCATTCTTGATCACAAAAAGAGAAAAATGATCCCTTGAAAAAATTTTGGGCGCACACGTGCCTCCAGTTCCTACGCCCCTGAAATTGCCATTGGACCTCCGTGCCAATGACACGAAGCAACGTGGAAGCGTGTATAAATAAATTGTTAAAATGAGATGATTTCTTGAATTGTTTTTACATTTGTTTTTCGTTTCTCTGAGATAAAAATCGGCCTCTATAATTAATTATACAAAATTTATGCGTATCTCGCTTAAAGGATGGCATGTGAAATAGAACAAATGACTATGGATGACGATGTAAAATACAATAAACTTAGTTTACTTCATTTGATTTTATTCACTACAAATTTGTTTGTATTTAGAATATATATCTTTGCGCTTAGTTTAGTCGGGTATAGAAGTTCTAACAATGGGCTATTTTAATAAATGTAGATTCTTATAAGAACCTGTACATTTAGCAATTTTATCCTAAGAAATATGCGGTATCTCATGTTTTTTTTTTGGCTCTAGGACGACAAACACGGACGGTGAAGATTTATAGAAATTAGTGATATTTAGACGTAATTTGAACAGCACAGGGGCCAAATCGGTGTAATTAAAATTACTAACGGAGATAATATATTTATCAAAATCAATATTTTTCCCAATGTTAGTATTCTTTTACAGACTAAGAAAGAGGCTGAAAAAGCAAAGGTTACGAGGAAATCAGGTAATTTGCTCCAGAATTATCACAAAAATAACATAATTATAAATTCCTAGTGATTTCATATTACAAACAAAATTACAAAAAAAAATCAATATTCAAATTTTTAAACTATTACGGAATGAGGGTTTAAATCATCTGTCAATATGCCCCACATTAATACAGCAATATGTACGAATGATTCTCTTTTAATGATTTCAAAGAGGGTGGGCAGTGCCAGTGCAATACCCTTTCCACTGAGCTAGAGAGAGCCAGCGTAGTTGGTGTGGATTTAGCATCGCAAATTTTCTTATGCTATTAAAGAAACCTATTTTTTGCAGCTGTGAGTGACAAAAATTAATCTGATAGCTGAATCCCGAAAAAGAATTAATTTCCAGAAGAAAGACTGCATGGGTTATTAACCCGTTTGCAATAAATTATAATTGCTTTTATTGGACGACTAACTTGTAATATAAAACCATGATATTTTCCAGGTCTCCACTGCGCTGATTTGTATGGAAAGGGAAATGAACAAAGTGGAATTTACGAAATTAATCCTGATGGAAAGGGAAGTTTCAAAGTGTTTTGTGATATGACAACATCAGGTGGAGGATGGACTGTATTTCAACGTCGTCTTGATGGAAGTGTTGACTTCTACCGAGGGTGGCAAGATTACAAACAAGGTTTTGGTAACTTGAGCGCAGAATATTGGCTTGGTCTTGACAAAATACAAAGGATGACAAATATTTCACAAAATGAACTTCGTATCGACATGGAAGATACATCTGGGAACACCAGATACGCTCATTATGATTCATTTAAAGTCAGCAGTGAAAGTGAGAAGTACAAGTTGAATGTTGGAGGTTATAATGGTAAGCATTTTACATTAAACTGAGTCATATTTTAATAAAATTATAGGATAGTCCAGCTCTCCATACAATCAACTTTGCAGTGAACTATTAAATCCAGCATATTAAATATTGTATAAATTATAGGAATATTATCAATGAGTGATCCATAAATATAATTGAAACGAGGCAGTTTTTGTATTAACTCGAGAAATGTAAAATATCTCCATTTTGAGAATTTGCTAAACTTTTAACTGGCTTGATTTTCAGTGATTTACCTTATATCTTTCCATCTATTCAGAAAAAACTTTCTCATTGATCAGCATTAACAATATTTATATGTCACACTCGATGAGTATGAGTGTAAGTGAGCTTTTTGAATACAGGCGATAGTATATGAATATTAATAATATTAAAATTTGCCTCCAGTCACAATCTGACATGGCTTGCAAATCTTCTGCAGAATACAAGCACAAACAATTCAACTCCGTAAGTCGATAGAGAATAACCTTTAAGATAGTTGTGTGAAGTTTTATCACGATCTGGTGCGAAATGACGGAGCTTTAGCCATTCGAACTTGCTTCAGTTATGCATACTAATATTGAATATAATCTATACGCATTACTACGCTACAATTTTGAGTTGCTATTAAATTCTTTAAAATAAAAAAATCAAAATTATAACTCCGTCAATCGATGGGGAATATCGCTAAGGATAGTTATGCGAAGTTTAATTGCGATCTGATGCGAATTGACGGAGCTTTAGGCTTTTTTAAAGAGCGTCACCCCCTAACAACAACAACAACAACAACAACAACAACAACAACAACAACAACAACAACAACAACAACAACAACAACAACAACAACAACAACAACAACAACAACAACAACAACAACACACAACAACAACAAAACACAACAACAACAACAACAACAACAACAAACACAAGATTAGCCGTGTGTGGGGACCAGTTCCTGGTCCAATAAGGGCCTGTTTACATGGAGCCGAGTTACCCGGGTAACCGAGTTACTCGCCTTGCAGGGACAAAACGGTACTGTGTTTATATGGAACCGGGTAACTCGGTATTTGTTACGGTACATTGTAATTACACGACGTACTTACTATGTAGGGTGCGAAATTTCAAAAAGTTTTTTACAATGGTGGTAAATGAAACGTAAACGCGCATGCGTGTTTGGCGAATATTCTGCTCGCCTAGCCGAGTTTCCCGTTGCAAAGTGTTTATATGGTATAACCGAGTAACTCGCCTTGCCGAGAACCCGGCACCGTTTGCCGAGAACTGGGCACGCCGAGTTACTCGGATGCGCCATATAAACAGTCAACCGAGATATGCATACAATATATAGAACAAGCGAGAACTCGGTGCTGCCGAGTAACTCGGTTAGCCGGGTAACTCGGCTCCATGTAAACAGGCCCTAAAAGTACAATACAAGTCATTAATTCTGTTATTGTCCAGGTTTATGCAAAAAATGGTTCCTTTCTCGTCACGTATCTATTGTATTTTAGCGAAACTTACCAATGGCATTCGTCTTGCAAAGCTCATCAACCCGGATTTGAAAAATATGTTAATTATCGTTTAATGATGAAAAAGAGAGCAGATGCATGATTAAATTTGCGTGCCTGATATTTCTACAACTGAGGAGCCTTTTCCCAGAGTTAGTCAACGAAGCCTGTTAAAATCTTTAAAATCTAAACCTAGATTAGTTTAACCAGTGTTAGCCGGCAGATTAGCAAGTTGACACACCTGGTGAGGTGGGTTAAATTTAGCCCATGGGTTAGCACGCTAATCCGTTTTGAACAACAAAATAAATTATAACCCACGGGATAAAATGTATCTCTAGCTTAAGCCATTTTAGCCTCCTTTGAACAACCAGCCCGGCTGTGATGGTCAAAAGAGGTTTAAAAGAGGTTTTGGTCATAAAACCATTCCCAGCATATAACTGCATGAGACTGGAAAGTGTAATGATTATGTATTTCAACGTCGTCTTGATGGAAGTGTTGACTTCTACCGAGGATGGCAAGATTACAAACACGGTTTTGGTAACTTGAGCGTAATATTTCACAAAATGAACTTCGTATCGACCTGGAAGATACGTCTGCAACGCCACTTACGCTCATTATGATTCATTTGATGTCAGCAGCGAAAATAAGAAGTACAAGTTGAATGTTAGAGGTTATAATGGTAAGCATTTTACATTAAACTGAGTCAAAATTGAATGAAATTATTGGAGAGTCAAGCTCGATCTCTTTACAATCAACTTTGTAGTGTACAATAAATTCAGCATATTAAAGATTGCATCAATTTAAATTATCAATGAGTCATATAATTATATAGTTGAAACGAGGGGACGTTGCTATCACGCCGAGAAATGGAAATTCTCAGGACATTCGACAACGTGCAATCGAGGCCTCCTTTGAAATAAACGCCGGCAAAATCCGGCGGTAAAATGCAAAAGACTGAAAGAATGAAATATTATTTAAATGAGAACATACAACTGAATACTGTGAGATTCGAGGTGATCTGCAATCCATATACTGGAACTTAAGGCTCCATAGAATTGTTCCAAAATATAAACCCAATATTTTCAGTGTCTTAATATACTTGGTTACATTGATACGAATGATAATATTACAACAACTCTTCACCAAAGCATTTCTGAAGGAGTGTTTCAGCCGCGTCGTCGTCGTGTTGCCATCTTACATGCTTAAGATCGCTGCTATTTAACGGATAGATTTATTAATCAAATTACAAAATCTGTATTATTTTTAATGCAAATAACGATATTCAGTATATCCTACGACTGTCAGTAACCTTCATCAAGCCTTCGCTTTTTCTAAACAACATAACATTCTACCTGGATTTCATCAAAATTACTGTTGAGTATCCGTACAGCATTCTTTACAATAACGGGATGAAACAATGAACATGACATTTCCGAAATCAGAACTTCAAATCACGTGTAAATAGCAAAGCGCTGTTTAAATACCATGGTAATAAAATGAATATAAATATATATATATATATATATATATATATATATATATATATATAAGAGCAAAAGTACAAATATATATCAACATTTGCAGAAGTAACTGCATAACGACACGTAAGGACGAAACTCCGTAATGTCAATAACAACTTACGTAACAGTCGTTCCCAACTTGGCCTTGTAGCTCAGACGGTAGAGCATCGTTCTAGAAATGCGAAGGTCGCGGGTTCGATTCCCACCGCGGTCAAATAGAATTTTCTGCTTGCCCGGTTGGTTATACTTGTGTAGAAAGAACAAAGTTCATTTTGTGAAATATTACGCTCAAGTTACCAAAACCGTTCTTTCTACACAAGTATAACCAACTACACAAGTATTGCAAAAACGTTGGCCGCAGATAGATATATAGATAGATACCCGAAATCTAATTAGAATTGCATATGTTGTGTAGTATGATTGAAATCCCATGCAAATGTAATCATATGCAATTCTAATTAAACTTCTAGTATCTATCTATCTATCTATCTGCGGCGAACGTTTTTGCAAATGGGTGTATATATATATATATATATAATATATATATAATATATATATATATATATATATATATAATATTATATATATATATATATATTATAATATATATATAATATATTATATATATACGTATATATATATATATATATATATATATATATAATTTGAGATTTAATTTATATACTTTTACATTAAGGTACAGCAGGAGACTCGTTATCATATCACAACGGTATGGCTTTCACCACCAAAGATTCTGACAATGATAATTTCGGTGTTAACTGTGCAGTGACATTCAAAGGAGCCTGGTGGTATGGTCATTGTCATTACTCCAATTTGAATGGTTTGTATCATAATGGCGCACACACATCGAACGCTGATGGAGTCAACTGGTACCATTGGAAAGGATATCATTATTCTCTGAAATCAACATCGATGAAGATACGACCACGTGAATTTGGAAAGAAGAAATAAAGTTGTTTTATACATTGTCTATATATTATTACTATTAAATTGTTACACATTGCAGCTGTGAAGCTGAATTTCGTCCAGAATATATAAATACAGCTACAATATTAAAAAAGAATTGAAGTAAGAGAATATTTACACTACGTAGCTATTAACTAATTAGTTTTTAGGCAAGGCTAAGACTATCAGACGCGAGGTCTTGACAGTACGGACCGAGCGATAGCGAGGTCCGTACATAAAAGACCGAGGTCCGATATTATTTTACCATACGGACCGAACGTATTCGGTTATAATAAGGGATTTATAATATGGCAAACAGTATTTAGTTTATTTATTTATACAATGCGCTACAGCATTCTTTCCGGCTCTTCGCCAGCCAGTCGCCAAGCAAGCACTGAAGTGGCTTCCAAAACTTTGTTTTTTACTCGTTAAATAAGAATGATACAGTAATATAAACAAAAATCAAAGATTAATAAATATAATATTCACATGTACCAAATAATGCTCTTCCTCGTCCATTCTCCGTCGATGTTTTTCGTGCCAAAAATAAAAGTGCAAGCTTGTTTTTACCGTTAGTACGGCAACGGTCTAATACTGAGGGATTCCAGACCGGCAAAGAAATCAGCGCACGTCATCTTAGTCACGAGACCGCGTGCCATATAATAATGTTTGTTATGGACTTTGAACGATGTCGACGGAGTTTTGAATCATACTTATGTTACCCATACGAACAACTTCGGAAATTATGGTGTCATCGATGTATTTCCAACAGTGGTTTTCGAGAGTTCTGAGATCGTTAATCATTAAAATGAGGAGCCACGGGCCTAGTTTTGTGTCTTGTTGTACACCAGACGGCACCCCATCCAACTCTGAGTAACAATCGTTCAACAACTTAACACGTTGAAATCTATTTGATGGAAAATCTAAGATCCAGTTCTTTACAAATGACGGAATGGATAGCTGGATAACCATTATTGCCAAAATATGATGGTCAATAAGATAGAAAGCTCTCGGTAGTCGAATAATACCAATTGAACAACATCTCCAGTTCTATCAGTAGCCTACGACCATTTATGTACCATCAAGATAAGTGCGTGAGTTGCTGATGAACGCTGTCAAATTGAGCTGGATCAACTATGGATAAAATCGCTGGGGCAATATATTTCTCGACTATGAAGTCCTCAGCCAGTTTAGATTATGCTAAGGTAAGCGAAATTGGACGAAGATGTTTATTAATTTCGCGTACAGGTTTCTCTTTTGGAATAGGGGAAATATTGGCTCTTTTCCAAACAATTCGAACGTCTTCTTCCTGATAAGATGTATTCAATAAGTTGGAAAGCGGGGATGCTAAAAACTCTCCGTAAGTTTTGAGAATACAATTTGGGATAACGCAGGACTTGGTGCGCCTCTTCTCTCTCCGAAATCTTGACATTTCCAAGCGTGTGCCTTATTAGTCGTTTCCATGCATGCATATGCATATACTTGTTAGGCGCCTCCCGAGACCAAAAAAAGCTTAAATACGTTAAATTTATGTTCGCTCTCAAGGCTTGCCACTGTAACTGATGTGTCTATCACGCGCTAGGCGTGTGGCGAGCGTACTCTGTTTCTCACTGAGACGTAACGGTTAGGTGCACATACATCATGGTCTGGGGGCCGTAGTGCATCTCCCCCTTAGACGGCCGTTAAGATGTGAGTTATGGGAGGGAGTTCTTCCTATAGCAACTGTCCTTGCACCATTTGCAGTTGTAATCTATGCTGGTATATCGCAGCTTGTTGTATCACCAGTTAGATTGTGGCATAGAGCTCGATGATCTATTTTGGGTGTTTTTAGGTTCTTTCCATTTTATTTTTTTCCCAATTTTTTCTTTTACATGCAAAAAAATACTGTTATTAAACACATATGGAACGGTCCGAAAAAAAATTATATCGACTAAAAACCTCCCTAATTAACCATGAATACTCTCCCCAGTCTCTGCGTGGCTGAGTCTCTGAATTAAACAATACCAGAGATCATTCATAAACATCAAACATTTGTTTTAGTAGATCAGCATCTTCATCAACCATACAGCAGTAAAACAGCGACAAAGACATTCAGACAGTCAACTCTGCATTCTCGTTAGTGCCTTCAGCCCGAGAGCTGTCAATCAAAAGTCTGGATAAATCACCTGGCTTTCCCTGCGAGTTTTCAAATTCATATTTCAAAATATCTGACATTTAAAACAACTCGAGATTTTCTACTAATTGTGGACTTGGTTTATTCAATAATACTCCATGAGATACTTTGAACAAAGACTTCACCATTGTTGGGTATAACAGTGCAGTATGGTAATCCAGGTAATTAAACTGGTTAAACTGGATAACAGTCTTGAGGATTTGTTGATCTTTCACGCTCAGATCTATTACGGCAACTCGTGTTTATATTAATTTAAGAGGATATATTAAAAGAGCGCAAACGTAACCGATTAAAGATCAATCGTACAGATCTACTATCGATGTTTACTGTTGACCCTGTTCCCCTGCTCTTTGAGCTCGGTTCTTGCTCAAGTATTCCACAAAACGACAACTTCAATTCCTGACATGATCTCAAAATTAATGCTCCTCCGTTTCTAAAGCTCGCCAAAGAAACATAGATTTAACGCTAACAAATCATCAAAATTGGTTGTGGCTTTAACGGCTAAGTGCATGTCTGTAGCTTTACTTTGATTTAAAAACTTGTGATTTAAAAACTTGTGAAATAAATACATACAATTTAGGCCCAAAGTGTACCAGCGAGTCAAGCGGCTATACTACTAAAACACAAAATTAACAAAACATTTTAGCAAACTATTAAAGCCGTTCAGTCATTTATAATTATTGAGTTTCCTTTCGAGATTGACGATTATTTTGTCGCTAAAAACCAACAAGGTTTCTTTTAAAACACTAAAAGAATATCAAAACACTAAAATTTCTCGCTAAAACACTTAAACGTTTAGGCGTTTAAATCTTGTCATTTCCAAGCGTGTGCCTTATTAGTCGTTTTCTACGCATATGCTTGTCAGAGAGCGCCTATCGAGACCAGGAAAAGCTTAAATACGTTAAATTTATCTTCGCTCTCAAAGCTAGCCACTGTAGCTGATTCGTCTATGACGCATTAGGCGTGTGGCAATGCGTACTCTGTTTCTCACTGAGACGTAACGGTTAGGTGCACATACATCATGGTCTGGGGGCCGTAGTGCATCTCCCCCTTAGACGGCCGTTAAGATGTGAGTTAGGGGGGGAGTCCTTCTTATAGCAACTGTCCCTGCACCTTTCGCAGTTGTAATCATGTTGGTATATTGCAGCCGGTTGTATCACCAGGTTAGATTGTGGCATGAGCTGGATGATCTCTTTTGGGCGTTTTTAGGTTCTTTCCAAATTTAGGTTCTTACCAAGTTCTTCTTTTACATACAAAAAAACACTGTTATTAAACATATATGGGACGGATATGGTTTGACAAAAAATTATATCGACTAAAAACCACCTTAATTAATCCCTGAATACCCTCCCCAGTCTCTGCATGATATAGGAGGCCATGAATTAAACAATAGTAGAGTTCATTCATAAACATCAAACATTTACAGTATTTCAGCATTTTGATCAACCTTACAGCAGTAAAACAGCAACAAAGACATTCAGACAGTCAACTCTGCATTCTCGTTAGTGCCTTCAGCCCGAGAACTGTCGATCAAAAGTCTGGATAAATCTTTTGGCTTTCCCTGCGAGTTTTCAAATTCATATTTCAAAATATCTGACATTAAAAACAACTCAAGATTTTCTACTAATTGTGGACTTGGTTTATTCATTAATACTCCGTGAGATAGTTTGAACGAAGACTTCACCAATGTTGGGTATACCAGTGCAGTTACTGCAGTATGGTACCCAGGTTATATCCCAATGGTAGACCATAATCTCGATGAATCACCCTGATTTCTTCTGTAGCTAAATTTTCATTCCAAAACAAGGAACACGGCACGTTTATGGCCATTTTAAGAGCACATTCAATTGTTATTCCCAATTGATTGCATATAAAATCCAACTTTGATTTAATTTCAAATAGATATTTTGAAGTTTGGGACGGCACTGGTAGAGAATGTGGACAAACCTACTGTAACCATTCGACTCCTCGCCACAATGAATCAAACCACGCAGGTAATATACGCTGAACCCAGAATTAGCATCAGCACAGGGGAATGCTTTTCAACTTCTCTCTGCCTAATAAAGGCTTGTCAAGACAATTAACCAAGACCTCTACACACTTATACAAACATTTTGGAGTTTGGACACTTGATTTTTTGCTCACCACACAAAGCATCACAAAAAACAATTCTTTGTTAACAGAGTTAAAGGCTACACCTACTCCTTCAAAAAGGTTTGGAAAAATACCCAACGCTACAATAAACCGAATAATAGTCTTGATTATTTGTTGATCCTTAACGCTCAGATCCATTACAGGAACTCGTGTTAAGTTTTTAGACCTCTTGAGACTTATCAAAGACAAATTTAAGAAGATGAATATAAAGAGCGCAAACATAAAGCTCGCGAAACCAAACGACGTAGATTCAACGCAAACAAATCATCAAAATTGGTTGTGGCTTGAACGGTTTAATGCATGCCTGTAGCTTTACTTCGATTGGTGTTGGATAAAATCTGAAATACTGAAATTATTCCTTTCAAATCCAGATTCCCACCACTACTAAGCTGTTGGAAGATGGAATTGCACTTTGTCCGCCATATTGAATTGGAACAACTGAGTCAGCACCACTGAGCTATACTAAAATTCCTGGAGGACTTGCTCGTCATTTCTAGGTGACTTCGCCGCCTCTTTTGTCCGCAAAAACATGGCAGACTTCGCCCTTCTGCGCATGCGCAGAAGCTCCGTTGACGTTACATGGTTCCTTTTGGCTATGGTATTTACCACTGACCGGGCTCAATTATGAGCTTGCTACAGTAGAATTCTCCCCCCTGGATTTAGTCACAGAGGAGAGATT